TTGCACGGGATGCATATATTATATGTTTAACCATGTCATTATATGACAGTGGAAATCTAATGAATAGTTAAATAACTCGGATTTACATATGTTAAAAATTTGGAATGAATTTTTCAGAGCGCAAAGTTGGATAAAGTTGGGATCACTTCGTAATAATAAAAATACTTTTCCTCAGATATATAAATATTTTGTTACGTATTTGTGTTTATAAAATATACTACCTCCATCCCACTAACATTGGGATATGAGGAGGTGACAAAGTTATTAAGAAAAGTGAGTTTATGTGATTGATATTGAATTGATAAAGTAAGAATGATTTACATCCACACAAATTTTACCAAATTTGGTATGAGACAATCTAGTGGGACTTCCTAAAAATGAAAAATGGGACAATCTTAGCGGGACGGAGGAAGTAATAACAAATGATTCATGCAATTGAGGAACACTAAAAATGTTACTGATCAATCTTTTGTAAACATCCAATAAGCAAAAACATTAATTGATAGTATAACTTTAAAAATCAAAATTTTCACATTATAATTACTAATTGCTAACTAATAATTTACACATTATTGTTTAGAGAAAATGAGTATGAAATAATTAAATATGGAAACGCAAGCTACACCTTGTTATTTTATATTATTATAGAAGACTATTGTTATTAATAATATAACTATTACTGTACTGCAAGACAATAACAATGATGTTTTTAATTAGACTAAAGTTTTATGATCGGGTCCGCTTAAGTTTGGTCTGATGACCTAAACTGATCTGGTCTAGTAAGTGTCAGATGTATGCATATTTTACTAACTTATTCTGATCAAGTCTATTGTATTTAAATTTGATCTGATTTGGTGTAATTTCTTTTAATCTGGTGTGGTCTAGCTTATAATTGAAAACATTTAAATCAAAATATGGTAAACGTTCTGATTTTTTTCTTTGCGTTAAGTGAAATCCCGCCAATTATGTATCACTATTATTATATTATAATAAAAATAATTATTATCTATCATCATCATCATTATAGATTATTTTGAAATGAAAATATTCCAATTACTCCAATATTCATATAACTTTTATTTTTTAATGGGTATGAAGCATTAAATGTCTAATTAGAGGGAAAAGCAAGGTGCGTGTCACACCTTGTTACTTTATATTATTATAGATATTCATATAACTTTTACTTTTTAATGGGTATGAAGCATTAAATGTCTAATTAGAGGGAAAAGCAAGGTGTCACAACATGTTACTTTATATTATTATAGATAGATATTCGTGGGGGACCAACAGTCCAAGGGGGGAGCTACTTCATCCTCTGCAGGAAGACAGCGACATTCCTCTCCCCCTATTCACAGATCAGCCGAGTTTGTGTTGAATAACTAGGGTTTGGGAACTAATAATGTGTAGTAAGCGGATGATGTAGCTTTAATTTCGCCACATAAGTAATCCCTTAGCCACGTCACACATATTAACATCTAAATTCACATTTGTACTGAATTAGCACTGCGTTCCTGAGTTTGTGTACCTTTGAATATCATTTGCAACATAGGGGATGTTTGGATTTGATTCTTAAAACTGCTTCTGCTCCTTCAGGGAGCAGAAGCAGAAGTTGGAGTGTTTGAGTGAAAGAGTAGAAGTGATTCTGATGCTCAAATTTACTCCTAGAATCAGTTTTTTTAGAAGCTTGAGTGACCAGCTTCTGAAAACTGATTCTGATTCTGCTTCTGCTTTAAAAAAAAAGCAGGAACAGAATCAGTTCCCAAACACCTCATAATCTCTCGTTAAAGAAAACAACATTTCTTTTACTTTACATATGTATTTCTTTTCAGAGGGGTGAAACATCCAAAAGAAATAATATTTCAATCTCATGTCATCTTGAGAGACGATGGGCATGTTTGGCACAACTAGCTGAAAAGATACTTTTGTGAGCTTTTTAATAGCTGTTAGCTTTTAGTGACTGAAAAGATCTTAAAAAGAAAAGGTGGTAGCTGTTTGATAAAAAGCTGACTGTTTGATTTAGTTCGGTTTGGTATACAAGCTGTTAGGATTAATTAATACTAAAAGTCACTAGCTTTTCTTAGATGCTACTCCCAGTAGCATCTCAAAAAAGATCTTTTAATTTTTGAAAAGCTCTTAAATATTGTCATGCCAAACACACAACTAGAAGCTTTTAGGAACTTTTTGAACAGTTCAAAAGCTAAAAGTCAAGGACTTATGTCCGCCAAACATAGCCGATATCGAGACTTTATATCCGAACACAGTTCGATAATTCAATAAGAGCATAAAAATGGCAGTAAATAAAATGTTACTTATAGCCCTATAGGCTCATTTTAAAAATTCAACACAATAAAGAAAGTGAGACAACTATTTGAACATATAAAGTACAAGTATATTCTTTGAAAATATTTTCCTCGGAGCAAAATATTTAGGATATTTCCGTTACATGTTGTTTTCCAAATCTTCTTTACTTATTTAGATTGATTTTAGTTGTCTGATATGATCGAACGGTTATTTGTAGTATTTGATAATAATTTTTTAATTCAGGTCATTTATGTTGTTTCTCTGAGATTTATATGAAATGTTTGAATTTTCAAAGAATTTTTCACTTCTCCTTCATACACATACATTTATATATACACACGTAATAATAATGTAATATTAAACATCTAGTTTTCCCCATTTGGTATTTATAATTATTGAGTAATGTTAAATTGAAAATTGTCATGAAGAGTAATGTGATCATTCTTAAAAAATAAAAATAAAAAAATGTGACTAAATATGTCACTACCAGTCTACCACAACATTAAGACGTCAATACATCATACATGTGCCACCTTGGGTGACATTGCTTTCATGTCATTGTACATGCTAAAAAAATAGGAAAATTCTTAGTGTACATGAGTTGTACACAAATTATAGACAAAACCTCTATCCTAATTGCTTGTGTACAATTCGTTTAAAAAGGGGCAAGACTTGATGTCAAATTGCATGTGTACACAGGCAAAAGTACAATTCGTAAATTATAGACAAAACATCCCTCCTAATTGCCTGTGTACAATTCGTTTAAAAAGGGGCGAGACTTGATGTCAAATTGCATGTGTACAATTTTTGTACACCAACAATGGCCCAAAAAGTACTCCCCACTAGGGCTGGGCACGGGCCGGGTCGGGGCGGGTAATGTAAAATAAAATGGAACCGCCGGTTCCATTATACGGTCCGGTCCGGTTCGAGTATTGCACTTTTCAAAATAGGAACCGGACCTTACCCGGCCCGTTTGAAATGGGTTGGTCCGGATCGGGTTTTTCGGTTCCTATTTCCATGTCTTAAAAATAGTAAAAACTTACAAAGTTCATAAAAACAATAACCAATGATTAATAATATAGTACATTGACAAGTTTCAAAATAACAACATACCGGTGCACATCTAACACAAGTGACAATTTCAATACTTCGTAACTTTATATATCTAAATTCACAAACAATATGGTCATCAATTACTAAATCCTATTTATATGAAATTGTCACTTGATGAATTTTCATACTTTCAGTGAACAACCGATTCGCGAAGTTGGAATTAAACAAGTCCTTGATGAATTTCTTTCCTACTGGACTGTAGGACGATGAATGCCCATGTGGCATGTGCAAATCATAATCACTAAACAGTAAACATAGAAAGTTTGTAATATCTAAGGACAAAGTCAACTATTTATAAATGTAAACAAGACGTTTTAATCACAACCTAATGGGCTAAGTAAACTAACTTGGCAGAGGCCAGTGTATTAAAAAATTACTTTACAGTATATATATATAACGGGCCGGGCCGGGTACCCGGTATTTTTTTATTTTAGAACCGGTCCGGGTCTTAAAAATAAATTACCCGGACCTACCCGGACCATTTTCTTGCAACAAAAAGTGAAACCGGCCCGTTTTGGACCCGACCGCCATTACCCGGACCGGACCGCGGTTCCAAGACCCGTTTGCCCACCCCTACTCCCCACAAGGTGCATACGTAAATGATGTTGTCTTTCATGTCTTGTGACAATCACAAGTAAATTTCCAAGTTTTTTGTCCAACAAATTATTTTTAGAGGCTTGCTGGGTGTACCCTATTTTGGAGGTACCACATCATTTGTGTGGTTCAAATGATGTCATCATTTAAATGAGTTGTCTCACTTACATAAATTGTCGTATTTAAGCCACACTTTAAGGAGTGTATAAATGAGGTACCCAAAATGGGGTACCTATAATATATTTCTTTTTTCAAAACACTTTTTCAAAAACTATTTTGAGAAAGTATACAGAAAAACAAGTTTTTCCAAAGGCATTTTGATAGGCCTCAGACCAATTTAGTTTCTAGATAAAATAGATGGAACTGTTTGAAAAATATCAAATCTTAACAACGGTTCGGTTCTTAAATTTTTTTTTATAGAACTGATAGGCACTGAACCATTCTTAGTAGTTTGATTCTTTTCATTTAACGGTACCTATTTTAAACAAAAAAAAACTTACAAATTACCATTAAATTTGTGCAAAAAAATATTCAATGTCTGAAATTACAAAAAATACAAATATGTTTACCTTCTTTTCAAAACTCAAAAGTTGAATTTAAAACATAAATGCATACCAAACTGAAAGTTGTAGTATAAAAAAAAACATACTCACTACAATCAATCATCACAATCTTGAATGAGCAAAGTAATTATCCAGCAAAAAAGTTCATTTATCTCAAAGGGTCACGCAGAGAGCACACAATTCTGACCATCTGAGTCTCTAATAAGAGAGACCTTAGAGAAATCCATTAAAATAAATAAAAATGTTAAATACTTAAATAACTAAACTAAAATAATCAGTGTAATATAAAAATAAATAAGTAAACATAGATTAAAATATACTACGTATATACTAATAAGAAATATGTAAAACCACGTCTAATTAAGACATGCAATAAGTTCTATGGGCAAAGCTACAAAGGCAAAGAAGATGGATGCCTCCCAATTTGGCCTTTGTTGATCGAAGTGGGGGCGTAATTGTGAAGATCTTTTCAATGTCCTCGTTTTCTATTATTTCTACTGACATTCATTCATGACTACGACAACATGGTTGAGGAGAGTTCATGTTTCTTGTACAAACATTCTCCCAAAACTTCCTGTAATCCTGTGCATTACAGTTTACAAACGACTAACGAAAAAAGATGTGATTATGTGAATGATAAAAACTGCACACACCAAATATATATATAATAAATAAACTAGAATTCGATGTTTACCGGGCATGACCACATTTCTATAAGCTAAAATATACATGCTGAACCTATCCCTAATTCCTGCGAAATTAAACTAAGACAGACCACTTAAACTATCATGTAATGCCCGCCTTTTAAAACTGCTGGTAGTGTAGCCCACACTGGATCCAAAAAATATTCAATGTTTTCACTAGACCCAGCCTCTAATTCACATGCACAATCGCCAACAATTTAGTATTTTCCTTGGCGAAAAAATGCATCAACGTCTTCTTACTGAGCTAGCATGCTGGTGAGCTTTGCTGTCACGTTCGATCCTGTCTGCATACATCGGCAGTTGAATAATTTCGCTGATCTCGTTTAACAGAACATCCTCCGTTATATTGTCTGTAATACTTTTTAGCACCTGATTGAAAATAATAATGAGTAAGGCTCAACAAGTTAAACTTCTGCGTAATACTATAAATAATTGTAATCGTATCTGCATTGTATTTAGAATAACTATGTCCAGAAAACCGTTGCTAGGGCAGCAGATTGGGGCCCAGCGCTTGGGAAGGTTAGGCAGGGATGCAGGGTCCATTAGAAATAAGTAGGGTCTTGGCAAAAAGTTTTTTCTTTAACAGTTCTCATCATTAAGCACATTCCAATTACATAACGCAATTTGTTTAATGCAATACTCTTATCCGTTCGTAAATTAATGACGCTTGAAGTTTTTGCACACCAATGAATTAAAAATAATCGAATACCAAGATAGGAAAAAAAAAGGCAACTCGCTCAGCCCTTCAATAAAATTACTACTTTGACCTTCGCGGAATTTAAGGAAACGGGATTTTTTCTTTCACTTTCAAAACTGTGTTGTCTATCTGGTGTGGGGATAACTAATAGTGTAGTATACTGTTTGACAATATTTGAATAAACACTATACACTTGCTGTTATACAGGGGTCGAAAAGTAATTAATGTGAAATAAGACTTTATTTACAAAGTACTAATGCTATGCCCTGAAAAGGAATAATGGACGCCAAATATGGATGAAAGTAGTATAATAACTAGAATACTCTCTATTAATTAACGAATTAAAAACTTACAAAGTACTAATGCTATGCCCTGTTGATTTTCAAAAGTTACACCTACGGATAGAAAGGACAATTGCTACAAATGATGAATTAATGGCTCTTAATTTGAGAAGTTACACTTGCTTGGAACACATATTTCCTCCAAAGATTTATTTGGATGGAAGGGTTTTGGATGGGTTTGGAGGATAATGCTATTCAGAGGATTGGTATATAAATACAGAGTATTTGTGAGATCTTATAGAAATTGAAAGCTTAACATAATAGTATAACATCATAATCGCCTTTTGTTCATTTTAAAATCATACAAACAACACCCTAAAGTGACAGTTACTTAAGATCAGAGTGCGTATTAAATAACAAACATGTGTGTTTCATGCAGTGACCAAAGGCAGCCTTGTTGAGTATTGGCGATGGGTTCAAGCCTTTAAGCATTATGCTCAAAATACTTGGTTTTTGTTAAGCTCACGTTTAACTGAGTAATCATGCAGCAAATGGAAAGTTTCTGTGAATATAAAGATAAAGGTGGATTTTAAATCATACCTTACGATAAGTATGGTACTCATTAGGTGTTCCTTTATCTATCCTAACCCTCATGCACACCCATTCTTGATCATCAGAATTCCAAGAACACTCTATAATTTTACCCGAGTAAGCTGACGGATCAGAACAGTCTGTCCCACAAAAAGAAGAATTTTGAGGAAATACGGCATAAGCAAAACTTTGGAAAGAAATCAAAATACAGTGAACTATTGTCACATTCACTGACTATTCACAACAGCCAAAAAGTAGGATCAGTTGACATGCACGTCTTACCCAATAATAGCTAGATACGGAAATTGTGTCCAGTGTCATGTATCAAATCATTGTTCATTTTATTCAGGCTATAGAACCAAATCATAAGAGAAGATACATATGAGCAGAAGAATTTAATTTATTAAAAAATCAGGATTCATGAAACAGTGTAAAATCGAGGCAAACCAAGACAGAGATTCAGATTAAATTTTCAGGTAAACTAGAACCACTCGCACCAACCATCTTTTTGATGGCACTCATCTAAAAGTACAGAACTACCAACATAAGGGAAAACATATCTAACCTTGGAAAACAACCTTACTCCCTTCCAGCAGTTTCAGATTTTTTCCTTCATTAAGATAAAGTAACTCACGGTCATCACGTATCTGCAAGACAATTAAAATAAAAAGATATAGTGATGAGTACTTTCAAAAACATTAATACTTCATATAGAAAATTGGAAATCAAACTATCAATATGATTACAGTCAATAATACATTAATACCACCTCAAAGAGGAAATCAACTGAGTTCATTTCTGGGTATTTCCACTTCAAGAGACCCTCATGTGTTCGTGGAACATACGGATCATCCCAACCCTGGCACAGAGATCAGTGATTACAACAAGACAATGAAAGAGTAAAACAAAAAGAAGCAAGAATTCTTGAAGGATGGTGTTCTCATGAAAGTTACTAAAATAATCAGATCTAAAAGTAGCAAGAGCCGTTTGGAATGACTTGGAACAGATAAAAGCACTTTTGTCAAATTTCAAAAGTAATATATTGATACTTCAGCTGAAAAAATGAATTAATGAATAGAAAATCATCAAATGTTATCCTTTACAGAGTTAAAAACACTTTTCTCAGGGTAAAAAGCAATAAAAATGATACAGTACTTTTTAGAAAAGTACATATTCGGAAATTTCTCTTTAACAGTCACTGAACATTACTTTATATACTGTGATCTAGATCAGATGCATCATTCAAAAGATTGTAAATCCCTAAAACCTGAAAAACGAGACCATCAGCTGCATGTGAAAGCTTTGGGATGAATCCTTTCAAAAGTTTGGTGACTGTAGATAGCAGCCAAAACTCTTTCCTCCTTACCTAGCAGGCATTAAGATATCAATAAAGGGCATTCAGCAAGAAAAGACAAGGATGTTGCATCAAATTTGGAGAACAGTATACATTTTGTAAGTTGTAATGCGTACCCTGAAAGGCTCCAAGTCATATCTGTAAGAAGAATTTCTACTCTTGAGAATATGTTTCCGTTCTCCATTCCGAGTTTCAATAATTTCTTTCTCAATCATTCTCCATCTCTCATGGAAAGGCCTCTGTAATCAAATCCAATTGAAGGTTACATGATGTTAGAAGGGGAAAAAGATGATATATGACCATCTAATCAATTAATCATGTAGTTCCTCAAGGATGAAACTCAAGCAATGTTAGGAACGATCAAATCTGGCGATGAAATTGTTGAATATGAACACTGAAATTGAAGAACTGAAAAGAAACGATACAGTTGAGGCAAATTCGAGAGTGCCTCGGTCTCTCCCAGGTCCCAGCGCAGATCCCAAGTTCTGCCTAACCTCCTTATTCCCTCCTTCCCATTCCTATATAGTAATTATATTCTAACGGGCCAGCCCATATTTTATGACATGGCCCATAATCTGTTTTATACAATACCACACTTATTTAATATCAATCTATTACTATTATTATTATTATTCTCTACAGCCGGCCCTATCATATCTCCCCCCTTGAACAACCACCTTGTCCTCAAGGTGGGTGATAAGAGACAGCCTTGATCTTCCACTTCATCTTCATCCTGGCGCCTCTACCTTCCCAGTATCTCACTGGTTTCTGAGCTAGGAGCTTCACTTCTTGAACCCTCATCCTTGAGTTGGTCACAGCAGGGTTGAGCAAATGTACAGACACGATGGCATAATGCTCCATAATGTTAAGAAAGTTAAAATCTCCCTGCAGCAGTATCTCTTGTTGTAACATTTGCTTTGGTTCCAACATCTTTCCCCGAAACTTGACCTCAAGTTTGTCATTACCTGAGAAAACTCTAACCCAACTTTTAACTGCATTGGGGAACCAGAAAGTATATAGAACCGGACCAACAGCCTCTGATCTGAAATCCATATCATAGTAACATTTCAAGATATTCCCAAGGATCCCCTCAAACTCAAAGCTTTTAAGCAAGTCCCTGTAACAGTTCAAACACATATTTATGTATATCTCAGCTAGCCTCTCCAAGGTATATCTTTTCACGAGTGGATATAGGTTTCTAAGTCTCTCAGCCATGAGTTTGATTCTTTCAGAATCATGCGGATAAGGAGCAGCCTCACCAGCAACGGCTGCAGCCTGCCTTCGTTGAAAGTCACATATGTAAAGTACTGTTAACCAGCAAACAATGAGATGAAGAATTGTGGCACTTCCTTCTTCCATTAACACATCACCCCCCCCCCCATGTTTCCATTTTTTTTTACAGATCCGGCAATGAGTCGATCACAGCAACCAGGAAGCTGTCAGCATAGTTGGTTCCTATCCATAAGCTTGCAAAAACCAGTGTTACAGGCAACTCGGCTACGGGATCATTTTCTATGGCTAGATAGTAGTAACACTTTGCAAGGTGAATCCATGCGCATATAGGCAACTTGGTTGCATCTGTGTCATTACCCGATGCTCCCAGGCACATACTCCTCAACCCTGCAATTTTTGAGACAAGGAGAACAACCTTCTCTCTATCCCCCTTCAAATATGACTCAAATGCCCAACCAGAAGAAGAGTTTCATGATCTATGTCCTGCTGCTAATCTGTATAAGGCAGTTGCCATTTGAACCTTCTTTTTTAGCCTGACACCAGTATGAAATATTTTTGCTAATTGAATAAAAACCTGCGGTTCCCTGTTAGTAGCTTCTATAAAATACTTGTTGGCCAGCTTCAAGTCCCATTTAACCCCAAGCTCTTTCAGATACATAACAATACAATTCCAAAGATCAATCAAATATCCCGCAGAACTGTTCCCATTTAACTCTATGGAAGTATTGTTTTTGTCCATTGACTTCTCAGAAAACAGGAAATCATGCCACAACAGCTTGATAAGGATTTTCATGAATGAAACAGGACCATCATGCTTGGAAGCTAAGTTGTGAGCATCATCAAGTTCTTTCATATTCCAAACCTGAAGATCATACCAACTGTCTAGAAGCAAAACTTGTCTGTTTGTACCTCCCTCATCATTACCGGAAAGTGTACTTCCCTTGACTCCGACCACTGAATGCTGAGGGTTGTTCCTAGAGCCCCCTTTTTCTTTCCACCCCCTCTTGTCTTCATCTCTGTACTTTCCTCTCCTTACTGCCCTGTTCTTCTCTTCCAACAACAGGGCTTTATCCCTGAATTCAGAAAAGTATTCATAGTGTAGCAACTCTGCTTTAGTCTCTTTCCTTGAGCACTTTATGTAAATTCTTTTTAACATATCTGCATATTTGTGCCTCAAGGAAGCTATCAGGAGTTCGAAACTTCGAATGAATTTTGAACCAAGTCTGGGAAGTTTTCTTCTTCTCTTTCTTTAATATGAGAGCCAATAGCTCTTGCAGCCACAGAACGAACTCCAGGGATAAGGGCTTGAGGACTCCAGGGTCACCAGTAACGACCACGGACAGCAGTTTCGTCTCCAGAGAAGTATTATCATCTTCTCTAGCTAAATTTTGCTCTAGAATGGCATCCCTCAGAACATCCTTAGCACTGTTAAGACCCAACTGAACTCTTGGCGTTAGAATCCGTGGACTGGAATCATTGGCCTCTGGAACTTGAGAACAGTAGTATATTGCTTGCGAAGAAGCTGGAGTAATGGAAGAAGAGGTTTGTGACTGAGATGAAACCTGCAAATTGAAACCTCCTGTCCAACTCGTCTCACTTGGATGAGAACTGAGAGAAGCTGTCCGTGACACCGTCTGCGAAGTTGGAACATCTGCTAGCTTCAACACCTGCGTACTGGACAGATTGAATAGAGACGACATCTGCGAACTTGGACAGACGGTCTGTGAGTGCGAACTGGGAGAAAAGGGTCGTGAGTGCGAAGCTGAAGATTCTCCCGTCAATCGCGTAGCACTTCGACGCGAACTGAGGGAAGCTGGAGGTGTGGAAAGCTGCGAACTGGGGGATACTTTCTCGCGATAGCAAACTGATAGAAGAAGTTCGCGATTGCGAAGAGATCTGTGAACGCGATGATGTCTGCGAAGTAGGCGAAGCCCTTCCCGATTGCGAACTACTAGGATCGGACGATGATAATATTTGATTTGCAGTTGACCGACGGTGTCTAGGAGGACTCCTAGCGCGATCTCGATGTCGCCTCTGACGGTGACGAAGTTTGCGCAACATATAGCGCAACTCTTCCAGCGACTCGGCCCATGTAGGTCTCGCCTCTTTCAGGTTGCGTCCAGTATTGTCCAGACATTTCTGCGTACAGAATTCCTCCATCGCTCCAGGTACTTGGTGTTATCGATCGATTCAGATTATCTGCCTCCAGGAAGTGAGGGCTCTGATACCAATGTTAGGAACGATCAAATCTGGCGATGAAATTGTTGAATATGAACACTGAAATTGAAGAACTGAAAAGAAACAATACAGTTGAGGCAAATTCGAGAGTGCCTCGGTCTCTCCCAGGTCCCAGCGCAGATCCGAAGTTCTGCCTAACCTCCTTATTCCATCCTTCCCATTCCTATATAGTAATTATATTCTAACGGGCCAGCCCATATTTTATGACATGGCCCATAATCTGTTTTATACAATACCACACTTATTTAATATCAATTCATTACTATTATTATTATTATTCTCTACGGCCGGCCCTATCAAGCAATCTCCAAATGATAACTAAGAAGCTATGATAGTCATGCCAGGCAATAACTGATGACAAAGTGTGCGGTAGTCATAAACAATGATTTCTTTGATGCTTAATCATGATTATGTTTTTAAAAGATAATAAGATGTGTTATGATTTCCATCATTTGCAATGGAGCCAAAGATTCATTATTTTTTTGCTTGAGAATATGATGGAATATAGCAAAATGGCTCACCAAACTGTCTGCTCTTCTTTGTTATGAAGCAGCAGTCAGTCCATGCAATTTTGGACGCGATTTTCATTATGGATCATCCAGAAACAGTCAGTCTCTTTGTGCTTTAGTACAGGGGTAAGACTGCGTACATCCGATCCCCCCTTACCCCACCGTAGGTGGGAGCCTTTGCGTTACTGGGGTAAATGATGATTGATGATTGATGATTGAATAAGATGTGTTATGAAATGAAAATCAGGAAACTACGCTAGTCATACCAAGAAATATCTGATCACAAATTGTTCGGTAGTCATAAGCAACGATTTCATTGATGCTTGATGACTATAATCAAATAGCTAGAGCTGCATTCAACCAACATGATTTATCATCCATATAAAGACTGATGCACATCATTGGCCTCCAAATCATTTAATTTTGATTAACATTTTTTCATGGTAATTACAAATTTTCAGATGTTCCTATGAAACACCATCAATCAATACATTAACTATTAGAAAAGGAAATATATTTATGGTGGGTGATGTGTACCCCAAGTTTTCCTAAACACGCTCTAAATGCTAAAGAAAACCACCCAATTAGAATGTTATTACATGTTACCGAACACACCCCACATGCTCTCAATTTACCCTTTTGATCCCCAAAATGCCCACATCTCTCTCATCTCTTGGGTACAAATAGATTATCTTGATTCAACAAACTGGTCTGAAATTAGTCAATAAATGCATGAGATTTATTTATTGTGAATTTCTAGAACTTTTGGACTCATAGACTCCAAAAATCACAGAAAAAGCTATAGGAGGAAGCACAGAGCTGTACTAATTGAAGAAAGGAAACAATCACAGGAAAGGAACTACATATCCTTGAATAATACCATACCTCTACGATAGGCATGTGATTTATAGCCATCATGTCATAAATTAAGTATCTTCTTTCCTGTTTCTGTGTGTCAGGCACTGTATCAATTATCATCTCCCCATCAAGTAACGTGAAATGATGGTACTTCTCAACTAAACCCTGTGGGGTGGTGACATGATTTTGAGGATATGTCAATATGTATGATTTTTAGGAAAGCAAAAGTAAACGAAACTCATCAATTCATGGTCCAAATAAGCACAATACAATGAGGACAAAATTGGCAGTCGATGTGAGTTATATCAATATCAAGAAATCTAGATGACATTCTGAAAGCTGGTGGATAAATGCATACTTCTTTGGAGAGCCTGCAAGGAAATCTCATCTGAATTCTTCGGAATTCAAATTTTCTGTCAATTAAATAACAACCATCCATCGTAATTAGCATCATGTATCTTGTTCCGTCAGCTTTCCATGTAGCATAATAGTAACGCTGCCTTAACAATTGTAAATTGTCCCTGCATACAGTATAATGACTTCCTTTTAGCTACTAACTGGAGAAACTATGAGCCCGTTTGGTAACCCCTATTTTCAACTTATCAGCCTTATTAGCCAACTATTTTACCAAACACGTAGTTTTTTACTTCGCTCGTTGAACTGTGTATTAATCAAAACAAGTAAGGTTGGAAATACTTTTCTGGCTGAAGTTACTGTACATGACAATTTTAGCTATTTTCATGTAATTTTTTCTTAAACTTATTCTTAAAATACTAAGTATATTTTAAATTATGGTTGTTACGGCGGCTAGGCGCGGCGCCAGCCGACCACCATATCGCTCAGGTGCCTAGGCGACAACTAGATGACATGTCATGTCACATGTAATGTTTAAATATACATACATAATAAAATAATATAAAATAATATATTACCTCCGTGGCTCCGTCCCAAAATACTTAGCCAACTCTTAAAGTTTGGACCATTATTTTGACTTGTATAATATTATGGAAGTTGCAAATTTTAAACTTTTATGAAGTACTTCTAACAAATAACATTTTCATATCGTTTTTATATTATAAATAATTTCCAATAAAAATATTTATATGGTCAAAGTTTTAAAGATGGCCAAGTATTTGGAAAGGAGGAATTATTACATATTACATCAAAAAAGTGTATATGTAATTACATGTAATTTATAGTACATATAATAGATATTGCTCCAGCTGTACCAAGATGGATAGATTTGTACTTGGCCAAATCTGGAGTCCCTTTACCAAACTTGAATCAAATTTGATATAAAAAGTGATTAAGAGTGATTTGTGTTGACCAAGTGAATATGAACTAGGACCATCAAATTGGGACAGAGGTAGTATTAGTTATAGGTCAAATAGGCCCTCGAACTAACATAAAAAGTACAATTCACCCCTTATTTAGGAGGCTCTATCCGGCCGTCACCAATTGGGGCGGTTCCCCGTGGAATTTTTCGATGAAATTTTTTGAGCATATTTTTCATTAAGTCTAGTTTACTCATACCAAATTTCAGCTAAAAATTCAATCGGGAGGGCAGTCAAATGAATTTTTGAAGATAATTGCGCACTTAAACAGCGCAGTACATTTCAGAAAAATCATTTGACTGTCTTCTCGGTTGAATTTCTATCTGAAATTTGGTATGGGTAAAAACTTAATGAATAAGATGCTCAAAAAATTTCATCAAAAAATTCCACCGGGAACCGCCCCAATTGGCGACGGCCGGACAGAGCCTTCTAAAATCTAAATAAGGGGTGAGTTGCACTTTTTAAGTTAGTTCGAGGGCCTATTTGACCCTTTAGCCTTAGTTATAAATTTGTATATACATTTTTTTCCTACGCATTGAGATTTACACCTTAACCTTACGCCTCAATGCGCAATGAGGCTAACACAATACGCCTTGGGAAAAAAACGCCTCAACTCCACAATGTGCAATTTCGAACATTGATTTGTATGCAACATAACTATGCAAGCAATAATAGAGCATACTATACGTGTGAGGGACTAAAAACCAAGGACAAGAAAAGATTGAGAGAACAAACCACAGAATGCACTTGTCCATACAACTAATACAAGACCAAGACACTTATTTCTAAATTTTGTGATGAAGAGATGAATTTATACCTGTCAAGAGAAACTGGATGTGAGCCAGGAAATTTCAGAACTCCTCTTCCCTGAAAAAGATAACACCAAGGATAAGAAGCATTGAAACTAGAAATAACAGAACAATATCTTCTTGGAGGACGCTTCCAGATCCATAGACAAAGATATAATTGGCAATAAATATTCTTTAATATAAAAGATTGTAAACTGTAGATGTCTGTGTGTGTGTCTAATATACACAGGTATACACACACACATAAATTAGAATAAAGATTAGAGTTAGAGCACAAGCTTCTGGTATCATGCGGACAGGATATCTGCGCATTATTCCACTTTAAACTGTGCAGCCCGTGTATACTAAATACATAAGCGTATAACTCAAAACACAAAAAACCAAACAAAAAATTTAGGTTCAATTAATGCCTCTGGATAAAGGAAATCTGATTTTTTTGACAGACAACCACATCTAAACTAAGATGTTTATAGAGGCACTTACTCCTGGAGGTGTTAACTTCAGTGCTTGATAGCAGAACCGCCGAAGTGATTCTTGCTGATCACTAGGGATACTATCCCCCAGGGTGTCATCATTTGTCATTACAGCTTGTGATTCCTCACTATCCTGAGACAAAAGATAATAGCAAGCAAGTCTCTAAATAAAAGGTATTTCAGCAATCAGCAAAGTAGAACGATGAATCATAATAATTTTTTCATAACAACTGTAACAAGCTACCAGCTAAGCAAAGGATTCAAGAATGAATAAATAGAAAAACCAAAGGCATACATGTGAAGGAACTGAAGGAACTGAAGGAACACCATCATCATCTTCATCTGGTACCGCGTCACCATTCAAATCAAATTCACAAGATCTTTTCCACTCGGGGGTTGAAGGGCAAATAACCATATCAGGTTTTTTCTCATGATAAAAAGTGTACAAGGCATTAATGTAATCGGGCTTGTATATCCCCGGGGGACGTGCCTCGGAAAATATATTTATTGCCTGTGTGAAGGGCTAGTCAGATAATTTGAAAAAAAAAGACATAAGGAAAAACTGACTTAACCATTCGAGAAGGAACTCTAACCTGAGTCACAGATACAGGTAGAGTACGCATAAGGTAATGGATGATCATATACCCAGTGCGATTGTGGCCATGTGTGCAATGAACAAGAATGTGTTTCTTTGTGCGCTTCTGGCGAGCAAGAAATTGTGAAACCTTGTCACATGAAAATTAAGTTAGACAGGCAGCAGGCCGGCAGCAATAGATTCATGTGTCAACCTATTATCTCATTGTCCAAAACTTAGAAGCTTTAAAAATTTCAAATAAAATTCATCATTTAAATAACTGGGCAGCTTTAATTGAAATCATATCGACCACCAAACAAAACCATGAAAATAACCGAAAATAGAGTTCAATAAGTTGCAGACTAACTGAAAATCAAATGAAAACTTGCAGTTGCCTATTATCTTAGTTGGTAGCCTTTGCAGGTAATTACTTAAAGGCTTTGCAATTATTGTGAACAGTATTTATCTTTTCAGTTATTAACTCTCTGTCAAATAAACATAACAGGTAAACTTTTTTAGAGAAAAGCTTACCTCATTAACAAATAAATTAACAGACTCATTGTCAGGTACAGAATCCCGCCCCTTGCACCTAATCTAATACATGAAAATACATGACATTAGGGTTCTTATAAACACAACCATTGAGAAATGAGAATCACTTTGCTTAACTTAGTACCTTGACATGCTTGATTCCTTCTTTTATAAATTCTTCTGCTGAATAGTACCTATTTGTATTCGTGAGATCAATAACCAAACCCAACTGAAAATGGTCACAACAAAATGGTCATTCCTTAGGGGAGACTTTATCATCGAGATATCTTATTCAAAAAAGAAAAATAAAGCAGCCATGGTTGTTCTAGTTGGAACTACCAAAGTAACCAGACCTTGTTTTTTTTATTTGTGTAGAGTTAAGACAAAAGTATGAACAGAGTTTCAAATATGTAATAAGAGTATAGTACATTGTGGCCAAATGTTAGATATCAAAGATTACATCTTTTTCCAATCACACATACCTTTCTTCCCAGCTGATGAATCACTTGCTTGAAGGAGTACCTTTTCCCAGCAGGAACATAAGAAGTGAAGGATTCACTAAGTGGAACTTTAGAAGGAATAATGCAACCTATTTCCATCCCAAATGGAGGACAATCCAACCAACCTGCAATATAAGCAATCCCAAATGTGGGATAAGTGATATGGAAAAAGCACGGTATGAGATAAAGTAATAAACATATGGTATAGTAACATGCAGAATGATCCTGTAATAAACACTCTGATGTGATGCTAATAGTAACTAGGAGAGCATAATGTTTATCACCGTTTGTTTACCTACCGAATTGAGGATGACACAAATCAGATTAAGTTCATAATGGTATGATTGACCCCCCCCCCTCCACTTCTCGAACAAAAACGGGACAAGATGACATTAATGTACTTCCTCCACCAAAGGAAATCAATAGAATAAAATAGAGGATTTAGTGATTCAGCATCGGCCCAGAAAATAATTGAAACCTGGAGGAAGCTCTTTGGATGCCTTCTGTCTTTTTTCTTGAAAAGTGTCATCATTCAAGCGTTTCTCAGATGCATAAGTTGGCCTATCATCTGGCTGCTGCCTTTTAAGTCGCTTAATTCTTTCCTCGCGCTCCTGAAAAAGAAATTAGGGCAGATGTCCTATATGAAACTTCATACAATATAAATTTGACGTAAAAGACTACTCCAAACTGCTAAAAGTTGCTTAGAACATGTTGAGTTCCTAGAAGTTCAAACTTCAAACTTCAAAGCATCTCCCATCACCTCATTTACAGAATTACATTTAACAAAAGCAAACATGGCTACATGAAAGCTTATTTAATTTTAAATAAAATTGATATTAAGTCACTAATGGAAGTATTATTTCACTCAACTTTTAAAAAGTCACAAAAAGATTGAAGGCTGCTTGACCCTTGGAATATGAGAAACATCACAACAAAATATTTGGTGTGTGTCCGTGTGTGTAGGGGTGGGGGAAAACACTGAAAAAATGCACAAGTTGCACAACAAGTCAACAACTAAAAAACTGCACTGCAAAAGCGGTGTCCTGTGATATTTTGTGGAGTGGTCTCCTGAATTTACATGCGGTTAGAAACCACACCACTCAGTATCATTAGTTCCCTTTCGCATATTAATTTTTACTACATTTTTCCTATTTTGTAAGATGCGCTTTCCTTTTGAGTCAATCCCAAAAATATGAACATTTTCCTAATTTGAACTCTGCTAAATTTTTATCTTCCCACTTTACCCCTTTATCGATCATTTCACTTTTTTTACTTTTTGTGGATCCATACTATTTTTTTAAACTTTTGGAGGTTACAATTGTAAAAGAACAATTATATCCTTTATTTTCTTAAAACCAATGCCCAACCCAAATGTATCTTACATTTGGGTATGGAGGGGAGTACATGGTAATCCGTAATAGTAAATACATATTTTAGCTTCAAACTTTCATACAATATTTAAAGTTATTCTGATTTGGACACTGCACTGGAATAATTTAGATTTGGACTTTATAGAAGTATTCTAGAGAGTAAAGAGTACTTTCTTATTTGATTCAATTTGTTCTAGTTTAAAAAATTTGAAAAAATGAAAGCTCAAATAAAAAAATAAAAACCAAGCTCAAAATTGAATGAGCAAAAAGTAGCTCAAAGTGCAAACCACCCTGCACTAAACTGCAAGCGACACTGCACCAAATCTCAAAACGCAGTTCCATGAAGTTTTGATCATCATGCGGTGCTGAGCGGGTCAGAATTAAATAAAAATCCCTAATGTGCGGTGTAAAAAATGCACCCAAACCACACTGCAACACGAGCATGCCTAAGAGTGTGGGTGGAGGTGGAAAATAGTAAGCTGTAGAAACGGGCAATATTGGAACATTATAAAAGGTGAAAAGGGGCCTGGAGATTATCAGAACATCAATATACTAATATTAGATGTACAAATACTACTTAACAAAATAAAAAGGTTTAAAAGAGTCAGCTAAATAATTATATAAATAAGTTTATAGTCAGTTTTTAGCTACTAATATCACCACGAATGTAATAGTGTGATACTATAAAAGTTTTGATGGGATGTATCTAAAATATCCACAAATGTATAAGCTCGTCCACATAAGGTCGATAAAATATAAACCGCCATATATCTTGAGCACTGTTAATGTCGAAATACTTTAGTGTGTAAGGACACCATAAAGTGCCTACAGACCAGATGTAAATGTGCAGCATCTTTGAGCATGCATCTCATAATGATAACTGGAGATGGAAGGCAGACAGCTAGATTCAAAAGGAATGGACATAGTACAGAAAAGGGTAGCCAACTAGCCATACAAGACTCCAACCATCCCAAGGTAACAAGGTTTTCTAAGCAAAGACAGTCAATTTAAAAGTGACCCTTAATGTGTTATACATCTTGTCACTTGGAATAGATAAGGTAAAATGTTGTACCCGGCGGGAAATTTCAACAGCACTTTCTACATAACCAGAACTATCGTTGATGTGGTCTATAATCTGCTCTTCAGGTTCCACCTCCAGTTGTTGTCCAAATATCTCATCATCATCTTCAGGTTGTGGTGATGCATTTAAATCCATGCTGGCAATCATTCAACACATACCACAAACAATAAAACATTTGCCTAATGGCTTAATAAAATATTACCTGAATTTTAAAAGATTAACAATCAAAACTGGCAGAAAACCATAATTGCTCCTCTAAGCAATATTTCAAAGACAAAAAATAGCATTAGAAAAAGCACCTCGGTTCTAAGAAGCGAGAATGCAGGGCATATTTTTAGGTGCATTCAACTCAGGAGTCAGGTGTTGTACACCCCATTACCACCTTTCATCATGAATGAACGGATATGACATAGTGAGTGTGTGGATGTTTCATAATCATCAAAAGTTGCTCATCCGATTGCAATGAACAAAAGAATGTCTCATAAATATCCTAATAAAATTTCATCCCGATCTTACTCGTATTTCATAACAGTGTGAACTGATAATGCACACACGTGTTGACGGCCTCACAACTTAGAATTGATATTACAGTGTCATAATTCATAATTTATGAATCATACGTAATAACTACTTTAAGCTCATTGGCATATCCTCCATCCGTCATTTAAAACTTGGCCAATTTGACCAGCACGGAGAATAATAAAGTATAAATCGTGTGGTTGAGGTTTTCGCAAAGGAGAGAGTTAATAGGAATCATCACAAATTCTTTAATTAAAAGGGAAAGTGGCAAAGTTAGTGGGGCAATCAAAAATAAAATGTTGGCAAAGCTTTAAGGGACAGAGGGAGTAATTAGGATAATGATACGGGTAGGCACAGTGAAGGGAAGGGTTCACAAAATGGTAAAATTATCAAAAGTTTACCATCAAATAATCTCACCCTCACTTATTCACCTGGGAATATTTTTTAGATAATTATACCATTCCATGAGCTCTACTTTAACCTCATTAATGTATCATTATCCTATGCAAGCTGAATGGATATTATTAAACAACTAACTCCTTTGGTAGGAACTCCTAACAATTTATCATCACCTGCATAAAACGTCAATAATGCCTCAAGACATAAGGTAGCACCAACTCGAAGTGCATAAGACATCTCATGGAGTCATGGTCCAAAAAGTTTGGAAATAGCTATAATCAATGTAAAAGATATTCAAACAGAAGGAAAAACTACAACAGCTGCTATAATTCATATTTATGATTGTATAAGAGGCGTATGAAATGAGGGAGGCAGTTTCCAACCTTGTCAGTTGCGGCGAGATGCAAATGACACTGAAACAACCAAATTCCCAAGCAAAAATATTTTATCTTTATTCCATAGCAACCTTAAAAGCCCTCCACAATTGAGACGAGAGGAAGATTCTTTCTCAGCGGATTTTCAACTACAAACCCCTTTCGGACTTTAGAACGAGAAAAATAAAGCTTTACAGAGAAAAACGAAGAGATCCTACACATTCGTTGCGGTTGCCCGAGGAAGACCGGCAAGTGATTGAGTAGAGAGAAGAAAAATGGAATGAAGTATTGAGTAAAGGTTTGGTCCTCATGTATAAGTTGCAAAAAAGATGTCAAATAAGTCCTTATGTAGAAAATTCTGTCCGGACGTGCCATTTGAGGTGGCTCCCGGTAGAAATTATTGAGGAAATTTTTTGAGCATCTTATTCATTAAGTCTAGTTTACTCATACCAAATTTCAGCTAAAAATTCAATCGGGGAGACATTCAAATAAATTCTTGAAGATAACTGCGTTTTTAACGGCACAGTTATCTTCAAGAATTCATTTGAATGTCTTCCCGATTTAATTTTTATCTGAAATTTTATATGAGTAAACTAGACTTAATGAATAAGATGCTCAAAAAATTTCATCAAAAAATTCTACCGGGAGCCACCTCAAATGGCACGTCCGGATAGAATCTTCTATATAAGGACTTATTTGACTCCTTTTTTGCAACTTCGAGGACCAAACTGACCCTTATCCCATGAAGTATTGTAAGGGAGGGAGAAAAACAAATAGTGAGCAGCATTAGACCGCAAGTCACTTACATATAATTTTTTCTTTATTTTATTAATAAATACTATTTATGGCCTTATGGGTTATGTCCCCCTAAGTTTGGGACAAGAGAAGGTGGCATGATTATTAATAAAAGTGGGTTTATGTGGTTGATATTGAATTAATAAAGTAAGAATAAAGTAAAAATGATTTAGAATCACACAAACTTTACCAAATAAGGTATGAGACAATCTTAGTGGGACGGACCGAAAAGATAAAATGGGACAATCATAGCAGGACGGAGGGAGTATATTTTAAAAATATTTTTTTCTTAAATTAGAAGAATCATGCAATTATTTCGACCGAAATTTCATAACATTTCAACAGAATCAGCTTATTTTCGTGTTAGCAAATGGGGACAAGAATAATACTCCGTATCAACTATTAGTGATTTGCTTCAAATAATTCAAAGTATCAATTATTTCAAAATAATCTCAATTATTGAAAAAAAATTATCAAAACACTCCAAGAAGAGTAAAATATTATAAGTCTTTTATGTATTATTTATTGTATCTGGCACATTTTTAGATTTTTTTTAACAGTTAGGATTATTTTGATATAATTGATATTTTGAATTATTTCAAGCAGATCGCTAATAGTTCGGATTATTCTGTCCATTTTTTCCTTAATACTTTGAAATAATTCAAAGTATCAATTATTTCAAAATAATCTCAATTATTGAAAAAAATTCTCAAAATACTCCAGGAAAAGTAAAATATTATACTCCGTAAGTATTTTATGTATTATTAATTGTCTCCGGCATATTTTGAGATTTTTTTAATAGTTAGAATTATTTTGATATAATTGATACTTTAAATGATTTCAAGCAGATTGCTAATAGTTCGGATTATTCTGTCCATTTTTCCTTAATTATTTTATCCTTTAGTTTTCAAAGGTTTTTTAAAAATATTTTCGAAATGATAAATATTTACAAAATATGACTAATGCGAAGTAGTTATTATAGTATAATATCATTATTATTCAAGTGTAAAAGTTGAGTATAAGCTAATATGACTATGTTACATTGTTTCTGGGATGCATTCGTGGTGTTGGTGCAAGATGGTCGGGACACCGGACCACGCGGGGTCCAGTAAGTTCAATATCATTACTTGTCATACTCAGGTAAGGTGTACGATAAAATATACTCCTAAAATATATGTGCAGGTACACATATACTTCTAAACTTCTAAAAGGTGAAAAAACATCTCTCATGTTCCTATAAAACAAAAAAATTATCTTTGTTGACTTTAAATAAAATAAAATAAATATAAAATGCCAAAATTAAATTATAAATTTAAAATTCGAAATTGAAAAATAAAAGATAAAAAATTTAGTTGTGCCCGATTCCATCTTTTGATATTTTATATCAGAATTTAATATTGTTAGTATACAAAATTGTTTCAAAACTTTCTATATGTTTATTATCCTTTCGGAAACGGGTTAACATATGTGTTGCAATGTAAAAATATCATTAATTTTTTGTATTTTAAAACTATAAAATTACATATTTTGTATGATCATAAATAATCTAAGATTATAAAATAGTGAATTTAATTTTATTAAGTTTAAACAAAATCAAAGAATATATTTCAAAAAAACTAACAACGCATTCGAAATTTTTCAACAAGACTAGAACTAAAATTTATGAATTTGAAGTGATTCATTTACAAGGAAATAATAATAGTTTTGTAATTTAAAATGAAAGAGTTAATATTTTAACATAAAAAACATCTTTATTTTAAACTCTTTAATTTTTTTATTTTTCAATTTCGAATTTTAAATTTATAGTTCATTTTTGTTTTTTTATTTATTTATTGAAAGTGAATAGAGTAAATTTGTCACTTTATAGAAATATTATGGATATTTTGGCACATTTTAGAAGTACAGGAATATATCCACACCTCCATATATGTTGCAGGGGTATAGTTGCATCTTTTCCTATGATAGAATATAAATGTTTTTTTATGTGTGAGTAACCAAGAAGCGAAGTAATCAACTATATTTAAAAGTCACTTTCTTATAATCAACATTTTTTATTCATGTATATGTAGTTTCTACTTCTTTATGGGACCATGTTATATTTTAAAAATATTCTATTTAAGAATTTACAAGGTCAAAATAGATATTTAATTGCGAACACAAAAATTATAAAATCAATTGGTTTATGACAATTAGACAATTAGTCGCTCATTTGTTTCTTAGTTGACAAGAGCAATTTAACATGTTTAAACCATTAATCACACTTCAGTATCACTTTACAGAAACGTGATAAAGTTCTTAAACAAAAATGATAATTTTTTTAAATAAAAATGGCTTATATATTGATGTATCACATCATCTAGATAGGAAGCAAACATACAAAAGGACCACGCCCAACGGTCAACCCTCGAACTAGATTTAGAGTCAATCAACTTCAAGAAAACAATGACTCGTTGATCCTGTAATGTGCATAACTGAGCCAAAGACGATCAAAACAAACAACTCAGCATTATGGGTGCAAATGAGCCGAGCCGCTCTGTCAAAGCTCGAATCGAGATTGGTCAAACTCGAACTCAAGCCGAGCTCGAGCCGGCTTGTTAAGCAGTCGAGCCATAAACGAGCCTACTAATTTTAGGCTCGCCATCTCGCGAGCCTAGTTATATGTGTGTATATAATATAAATATACAATATGAATTAATATATAATATGGAGTATATATTAGTATATGTAATATATAATATAAATTAATATTTTTTTATTTATAAATTAACACACATATATATATATATAATACTGATTCATAAATGTATATGAGGATCAGGAGATATTATTAATTATAAAGTAATTTAACAAAAGTAATCAAAGTTTCATCCACTACTTTTTCATGGTTTGACCACTTTTGATTTATATTAGAGGTACAACTGGGTAGAGACTTGAAGTTAGGATTATATTTTGTTTATTTTCCCTTAAGGTTTAGTTGTTGGGCATGTAAATTGCAATTTGCAAATGTTAAACACAAATATTTAGAGATTGTTTCATACTTGAGCTCGAGTTCGAACCCGAACTTACGAGCTAATCGAACTTGTAACTTTTGAACGAACCAAAATTATCTAACGGAATCGAGCCGAGTCGAGCTGAATTAATATTTGCGAGTCGAGCTCGAGCCCGGATTTTTTAAGCTCGTTCGAGCCGAGCTCGAGCTCGAGCCAATACAATATAATTCGAGCTCGAGCTCGAGCCTACATAAACTCGGGCTCGGCTCGGCTCGTTTGCACCCCTACACAGCACTCAATCCTAATGCAAGAGTCTGACATAACGAGAAATAAAAAACGAAAACAAAAACAGTCTGATCAAGGTAAACAAAAAAAATAAAAATGACATAATTAAACTCATGCTGCGACCCCAAAATCACGGGGAACTTCCGCTCTCATTTTTTTTTTTGGATGAATGTAAATATATATTAGCACCCAAAGAAAAACTGTACATCAAAGAAAACTAAGAGCTAGATCTCCTAACCCCCCCCCCCACCCCTACCTAGTGTAGGGGTGAAGAGAGGTTTTTTATTCGATCTATATCTAATTCCAAAAAACAGAGGCCTAAGTATACAATACTAAATGCCTCAAACATAAAAAATAATCGATGCTGCCAATATGCACGCACACAGATCACCTCAAAGTCATAAAATCAAAAAAATAGCCATGGTGTTGCGGGTTGCAACCATTAAAGTCCAAGTCGTATGCCGCGGCCTCCCTAATGTTCTCTCACATGTCCAAACTTCAAAATCCAATCAAGTCATGTGGGTATAGAGAGTACAATATTTTGTACACCACATGCTTTATCTTCACGACGATCTCTTCTTCCTTTGGCATGCTTCCATCAAATCTACACGCATTCCTAGCCCGCCAAACGTAGTAAACCGTGGCACAGAACGCCAATCTTGCCGCCTTCGCCTTTAGCCTTGAGCCTTTATGTTCCTTCATGATCCACTTTATTGAGCTCAAAAGGGTGGTCATTTGGTGGCCAAAACCCATCCAATTTCTAATTTGAGTCCATACCCTACCTGCAAAAAGACATTGAAAAAATAGGTGTGGAATTGTTTCCAATCCACCCTTACACATATCACACCTGTTGACAATATATAAGTAACCGAGGTTATCCTGTGTAGGAAGCCGGTTTCGCAAAGCCAACCATACGTTAAAGGAAAACTTCGGGGGGACATAGGATTTCCAAATGAAGTTCATTGTAGTCCTAGTCACACCCTTTACCCTTAGAAGATCATATATTTTTCCAGAGATTAATTTCCCATTTATGGCCCTTGAATTGAGGCCAAGGATGGTATCATTTAGATTGTTAAAACATCCCTTCAGTTTGTCTCTAATTAGACCCAATCTCTTCATTAGTTGGGAATCCCGGCTGTGTGGGACAAAGTCCCACACACTTCTACCTTTGAGGTAGACACCATTGACCCACTTAACCCATAAGGTATCTTTTTTGTTATGAACGTCCCAGATAAGGCGTGAAAGGAGTGCATGGTTCCAAACTTTCGCATTATGGATACCTAGCCCACCTTCGGCCTTTGGTAGGCATATATCATCCCATGCGACTTTTGCAAACTTCCCTCCCCATAAAAAAATCCTACAAATGGAAACGATTCTATCCAAAATAGCTTGGGGGACCGGAAAGACTTGGAGCCAAAATGATTGTACTCCTTGGATTACCGACCGAATTAGCTCAATCTTCCCAGCATAGGATATTGTTTTTGTGTTCCAAGCATTTAGGAAATCCTGGATCACTTCAATTAGAGGTGCATACTGTGCAACCGAGACCTTTAAGGGGGCAAGGGGGATTCCAAGGTATCTAACCGGGAACGTGCCTTGCCCATAGTCAACGAGATCCAAGATGTTTTGTAATTCCAAGTCCCTCACCCCTCCAACAAAGATGTTGGATTTGTCATGGTTTACCCTAAGCCCGGATACATCCCCAAACTCCTTGAGAGCATCAACCAGTATTCTTATGGAATATGTGTCACCTCTCGAGAAGAGCATTAGGTCATCTGCATAGGCTAAATGCGTAATACCAAGAGACGAACATTGTGGGTGGAAGTTGAAACTCCCCTGCTTAGTCCTCATTGTGAGGAGGCGAGAGAAATATTCGAGGCATAAGACAAAAAGCAAAGGGGACATTGGATCCCCTTGTCGTATGCCACGCTTGCCTTTAAAAAAAACCATACAAAGGGAACTTCCGCTCTCATGTCCACCCATAAAGTTGCTTTAGAACTCCCGGCGAGTATTGCGTTCAAAACTCGTCCCCTCCCCGTTTTTTGACTCATCCAGAGCCATGACATCTCCACTCACGTCTTCATGTTCCTGCGCCTCCCACAGCCTCCTGCGCTTATGGTTTGCAAAGACCCCCTCTGTATCAGCAGCTTCAGCTTCCCCCGTCTTTTTCCTCCCAGGATCAATCACAACAATGGTCCAACTCTGTCTCTCTACCCACATTTGCCTCGCCATTCCACCCTCTCTGCCATGAGCAATATCTTATTGCTTCGTCCCCATACCTTTTGATGAGTATCCCTCTTGAACCAGTCACTTGTTTTTCCCCCTGAAGGATGAGCCCCCTGCTCTCACTTCCACCCCATAGGGTTTTTCCAACACTTTATTTTCGCTCTCATATGTCAAAGGATAAATTGTGTCAGCATGGCCAATAACACAAAGCAAACACTTGATATTTTTTCATATTTAAAGTCCACTGAGTGACAAATCCCTTGACCTTCCATAAGAGACGTACCTTTCTTCAGTGGTTTCCCAACGTCCATGCAAACCCCGATTCTCATATAGGCTTCCCAATTTCCCTTAAACCGACTCTCATCAAAATTGATAATTTTTTTATAAAATTATCAATCCTCCTAGCCATACCCAGCGTTATAAATCCACATGATACATTATGCACCCAGACCCAAAAATCCGCCTCATTCAAAGTTATCTTAAGGGATATATCCACCGGCTTAACTTCTATAAGGATTAACAAGTTCCGTTCAAACAACCACTGATCACTTTCAAGCACACGATGCATATCAACTATATGATAAAAAATGAACAAATACTTTTTTTTCGCTTATCTCTTTGATAGAGACTCCTTTTCCCGGATGCTATAGCGAGACCATAAGATCTTTAAAAACCTGAAATTTGACCATCCTGTCTGTGAGGAGTGTACCGACCACCGAAACGCAGCCCGCTGCTCGCCTGCTTCTCCCTCGCCGTCGTCATCTTCCTCGATGACTAACTCCTTCTCATCCCTACCAATAGCCACATTATCATACTGAATGAATAACTATGTCCTCCATTCGCAATCTACTCAAGCGACACTATTCAACGGAAGAAGAAAGTCCTTGATGAAAGATGATAAATTTAAAACAAAATACTCACTGCGTCATAAAAACTTCATTGATTGGACTTGGATCAGATTTTTAAAAAGGGACAATAAAGTGAAAATGTATGATTATTATTGAGTAGAAAAAATCTAAATAAATGTTAACTTCACAAAAAAATTAAAAAAAATGAAAAGATTTGTTTAGAACATCAAAAAAAATAATGTTAATATGGATAAGGAAAATTTGTTGATTTAGTCCCATAACTAATAGCTATATCCGATATTGGTCCTGTAACGTTATTAACTTGCAATTTACATCCCGTAACTAATAAGTTGGTGCAATTTTGGTCCTTCTCTGCCGGAACTTATCAATTTCGTCGGAAAAAGACACATCACCTGCCACATGGCATATTATTTGGAACTCATTTGCTGACTCAATATTGGCCCTTAGCTGGAGTTAAAAAACCAGAGTACGAAAGCTCTCCGCTAAGTGTGTGCACAACCATACCAAGCCTATTATCGGATCTGCAAAAGGGGGGAAGAACATATAACTCTACCTGAAGATTTCTCCTGAACTAAGTCGAGAGAGTGAGTTATTCTTCAAATATGCTAGTAACGGCTCTCGATCAGAGAAAAGTTTATGGAGTGTGATTGTGGTAAAAAGGTTTCTCTTCTAATTTCTTGGACTGATAACGATCCTGGAAGGAGGTTTCGTGTGTGCGCTAGAAGCAGAGTAAAAAGTTCAGCTTTTTAATTTACATTGTTTGCTTCTTTTTTTACTAAATAAACTAGAAATTTAAGAATAGCATTTGAATAATAAATTTGTTTGAAAATTAAAATGTATTTTATAATTTAAGCTAGGTTCTACTAATAAAATTACCATCTTCTATTTGTTGGGGGCATTTGATAATGTATTTTTGTGTTCAAAGCAGTAAAAAGTAAGTTAAGCTTCATCTTGTTCTTATACAGACAGAAGTTTGCAGATTTTTTGAATGGGCGGACCCACCTATGTGCCATCGTTGAACGATGATAATTCCGGGATTGGTTAGAAGACTCAATTCAAAAGAGGAAGACGTTGTAAATTTGAAGGCTAAAAATAAAAGGCTCTTCATAGTTGTTGTGGGGCTAGTGTTTTTGCTCCTGGTCTTTCTCATGTTAAAGATGTGAGAAGTGAAGATGATGTAACATTTCAAATGCTTTATTCTTAAAACATGAATCCAAAAAGCTTTAAACTTCATTCAAAATGCTCCTGCTGCAACCAAGAAGAAATAATTTTTTAATTCTAGCTAAGGGCCAACATTGAGTCAGCAAATGAGTTCCAAATAATATACCATGTGGCAGGTGATGTGTCTTTTCCGGCGAAATTGGTAAGTTCCGGCAGAGAAGGACCAAAGTTGCACCAACTTATTAGTTACGGGATGTAATCTGCAAGTTAATAAAGTTACAAGACCAATATCAGGTATAGCTATAAATCAACAAATTTCTCTATGGATAATGTTAGCACTTGTAACTTGTAAGATGGAGCTAGTCCTATGCTTTTCGTGCAATTTTTTAACTGTGCAACACTGCAACCTACAAAGAAAAGCCAAAACAAAACCCGTTTACCAAACCTCCAAAATCAAGGCATCGGGGCAGACAGGACAGTGAAGGACGATACAAACAGAAGTCCTAGGAGAAGAGGGGAGAGCAAAATATATATTCAAGCTCTATTTTTTTGAAGGAATTCGAATGGAAGTGGCGACGGCGAGTAACGGTGGGATGTTGTACCACGAGGTACAAGAGTCTAAGCTCTGCGCTGTGCATTGCGTGAACACTGTGTTGCAGGGCCCGTTCTTCTCAGAGTTCGATTTGGCGGCGCTTGCTTCTGATCTCGATTCCAGGGAGCGTCAGATGATGCTTCATGGTGCCGGAAACGGCGATTTCATTCCGGAGGAGTCTCACAACGTCTCCCTCGACGGCGATTTCAGCATCCAGGTTCTATTACCGTCAGTCTTCCAACTGCTTTAGTATATGCTTCTATCAGAGACCACTATCTTTGGCTTTTTGATGGAACTACAATTTAGGAGGAGACGCCATAAAGAATTGAGCTTCTGAAATTTCTATTTGCTTCAATCTAAGAAATTTCTATCTTTATTATACGGGCACGTCGCTCATAAATCATCTTCCAAAGCATCTTAGTTGTAATGGTCAAAAATTGAATACTGGGTAAAAATACTTGAATTGTAATCTTCCGTATATGGTTTGTGGTTGGGGCGGGTTTCGTTTGAAAAGACCTATATTGTTGCATGGTACTGAAGACCATCTTGGTGCATGGTAGTGACATATTGGAGTCGAGTAAAGCTCCATCTCAATTGCAAACATTGTTTGCATTCCCAAAGACAATATTTTGCCATTTCCTGAATCCTGATTCGTATATGCCAGATCCCATTCTGTATTTACAGTACAGGCAGTGTGAGTCGGGGAAATCTTTATCTCTAATAACATGACTAATGTATCTCACGCACTGTATAAATTTTTCTAATGGATTATTAGCTAAAATATACTCAACTATCATCAAATTCACAAATCTATCCTATTCTTTCACTTTTATTATAAAAAGACTCAAAGTTCATCTTTTTTCAATAATTATGTTTTTTTGTTATCTTCTTAAGTTTTACTAATTCATCTGAAAGTGTAATTGCTTGAAAAATTGAAGTTTGAGTCTTTTTATAATAAAAGTGAAAGTATAGGATAAATTTGTGAATTTGATGATAGTTTGGGATAAATTAAGCTAATAATCCTTTTATGATTGCTTTTCTTGATTTTCATTATCTTAGGCTTTCAAACTTCTATTCATCATATTATTCATATCTTTCTCTTTGACTTGTAACTTCTATACCTTTACTTTATGGAGAAGATGGTAGAGGTGGTCTTGTGGTTGATTATGTTGTATAATTGTACTCTATCTTCGGCCCTTCACACCTTCTAATAAGTGTTCCCTGGATGTCTCTAGTCATGGCTAATTTATCTCAAACACTCACATCTTATCCTCAATCACGTCTACAATTAGTCTATTACTTTCTTACCAACACATTCTTTATGTTTTCAATCCCATGTTTTAAGTTTCCCACACATCTTTCTCAGCGTTCTCAACTACATCTCTGACATCTTGTGAACATGTTAGTACTTCATCAGCCAATACTCCAATCTATTCACTTCCCAATAGCTATCTTATACAATTTTTAAGGCTTTTAACTTGACTGGTTTTTCAGATCACAAGATCATTGATGCATTCCTTTATTCCGTTCTTTTTCTATAAATTACATGCTCAATGCACACATAAAACTCCTCATCTAGTTAACTATAGAACTTGAGTAACAAAAGCTCTATTTTTCTTATCACTTTAGTTAGTACGTAGTATTATTTTAGTTACCTCACTTTCCATTTAACTACCCCCTCGGGTCCTTATTATGATACAAAATTGAACGAACTACACGAACCAAGGAAGGTAGTCAATATTTTTGAATTCTTAAAAAAGATTATGATGTTCCAATTTTATCATCTTTTACTTTGCCTCGTATATGTCTACTATAAAAACATAGACATGATCGAAATATTTATTAGGGGCATGGAAAACATCAAAAGAACAACTATGCATTTTAAAAGGACTATTGACTCCTTTGAAAGAACAACTACTCTCTCTGTCCGGCTAAAATATGTCAACTGTTCCTATTTGGTTGTCCAAAAAACTTTGCCACCTTCGTTTTAAAGTAACAAATATGTGTTTAATATCATTTCTCTCATCCTTGCATAAACTTCAATCTCACAATTTATCTTTCTTATTCTATTTGCCAGTCAAACTTGACTAAGTTAGCGGGACGGATGGTGTTTATGATTTAGAGTTTTATTTATTATGAAAGTATATGATTTATAGAAAGGCTAAATGTTTTATAAAAAGTGGCAAAGTAAAAACATGTTTTCAAGAACATGACATCAGAAACTGAAAACAAAAACTTTGCTATGAATAGTATTTTCTTGTTTCTGTTATCAGAGAAGTGAAAAAAAATGAAAAAGAAGTGTTGCGAAATGACACCTTTGTATTTACACCATTTCTAGATTCATCAACAAAAACAATGCCATCTGTTAATTATGTGCACCAATTCACTTACGCCTCCTCCGCCTCTTGGGTAACGTAAGTTGTAGAGAATTATATGGCTTGTGGGAGACTGGAGTCTAGAAAATAGAGTTTTCGTATGTACCCACTACTCCGACTTACTAGTCATGCACTTCCCATAATGACTCCAACTATCCTTTCAAAAATCAAAACTCTTCCACTTCCGCTTCTCTGTACAAAGGTCTGCACAAGTTTCACATAAGTTTTTCTTCCTCTTTCTCATCTTATTCTTCCCTTCTTTCCTGTCCTTTTCTTCTTCTCTTAATCACTTTCTATTATCCCTTTGCTTCTTTCTGGTTGGACTGCATACTCCTCTAATGATCTGCTCTATGTCTCTATCTGATCCCATCACATAGACATTGACATTTTAACAAGCAAAATTTCCATGCTTCTGTCCTCCGCAGCTTTCAACACCCTTGACTGACTACAAATATGCTACTTGCTGCAGTTGCTTGACTATATTATAGTATGTGTGTATGACTGTATGTTTACATGTCTATTTGCTTGTGTTTTATGTTGATATAAGCCTGCATGACTAGTAATCTAGAATGCCTTGTTCAGGTGTTTTTTATGAGTGTATGATAGGCCCCTGGGCTGTAGAGAATAATAATAGTAGTAATAGATTGATATTAAATAATTGAGGTAGTCTAAAAATAAGGGTTACGGGCCATTTAAGTCATGGGTTTGGGCCGGCCCTTTAGAATAGAATTAGTATACGAGTGGGACAGTGGGAGAAAGGAAAGAAGGAGGTAGGCAGAAATTGGGACTGGGATTTGGGAGTGCGAGACTACTCGAAGTGTTTCACTATTTTTCTGTTTCTTCTCTTTCTTGTACGCTGGGTTTCTGCCATTGCAATTGCTTCAGGAATCCTGAGATTTCTTTTGATTCCTTAATACTACCTCCGTCCCATTAGAAGGTTCTCGTCCACTATTCACATGGTCAACTTAAATCATTTTTAATCTTTTACTTTATATATCAAATATTTATCAAAATTACATTCTTTTTATCAGGCTTTGTAGCGGTTTTAATGTAGTTTCTGAATATGTAAATTTTATTTACTAAAAATAATCAGAGTGTGAACAAGGATTAAGTTGCTTTATCGTCAGTCAAGCATCGTAAATCGTTCACGGGAACCTTATAGCGGGACGGAGGGAGTATACACAAATTGTCTGGTTCCTACTTCCTTTCCTTCCTCCCACTCTTATACTAATTCTATTCTAAAGGGCCGGCCCCCTAAGTATGGCATGTCTCACAGCTTTCAACCTATCCCTTGAAGGATGCTCCTCACTGAAAATCTTATACCGAACTTCATCTGCACGCATATCAAAAGAAGTTTCAAGGGAAATTGAGTCTTTGTGCTGTGTTTCTTCATCTGCAGCAGTTGTCTGTTTGGATATGGCTTCCTCCAGTCTTTCCAGCTTCCTTCTGAGTGATCTGTCAATACAGGGGACAAGTTCTCTCAATATTCTCCTCATATCAGTACTGGGGTCTAACAAAAGGTGTATGGGAGTTAACTGGAAGCTCATGGGTTTCACATCTCCAATTACATACTCCATAGGTGTATGGTTGTAGTTACCCAACTTTACAAGTACAGTAATGCATTCGAAAATTCAGAATGGGCTGTGATTTTCTCTCCTGCTGGCCGTGTCCCTGAGACATGAATATACGATCCCAACTCTTCACAGTTTGTCATCTTAGAGCCAATAAGTTGTGAAACCATGCCCTGAGGAGAGAACAACTTAACACAGTCTACTGGTGCATGTGCTAGTCCAATTGAAAGGATATTCGGCATTGGTGCATAACAAATCAAGTGGCTCTCATTTCCATTGTACTCTGCGAGAACTCTTCCTACCATCCCCGACTTGACATCTGAGTGAATGGAAACTGATTCTTCAATTACCATATTCTGTGGATCATCCTGCACCCATAACTTTGCCAAAGCACCCAGGATTATTACCACGCCGTCACCCACCAGAGCTTTGTCCTGACCTACAGCATAAGCAACACTCTTCTCCATCCCTCTTCTATTAGTAAGTGTGTGAACCATGTTACCCCTTTCCCAATCTTCATCTCTTTTCCGGAGAATCTTGCTCTTTGTACCAGCAATTGTCATATGAGACTGATTGTCAAAACCTGCACCTCCATCTAGCACAAAAATACGAACTGGTTATTGAAGGAAAAGAATAATTCACATTTAAGACATAATATTGTAGTTAGCCGTTACATATCTCTACCATTTAATATTATATTATTACTTACCTTATAGACTTGGTCAGTATATATCTGATGATGCTGCACCGCCACCGAAGACTGACGCAGATGGCTACCTCCGATGGACTAGGCAAGACCGACTCATCCGACACGCCCTCATAGCTTCGACATTTAGCTTCTCTTCTCTCTATTACTGGTGTCATTTCCTTAGCATTTTTACCAACCGTTCTGGCATCAATGGTGGTTTCCGAGCCAGCATAAACTGCTGCTGATTCCTTTTCTTCATCAGTTCGCCGTTCTGATAGTGGCCTACTGTCAACCAACACCTTAAAATCTTCAAAGTAGCGACCTAACCGTTGATTTGGAATTTCCAGAACCTCAACAGCTTTATCCCTAGATCCAATACGTGTACCGTGATCTGCATACTTCTTCATAATGTTTCCCTCTGCTATTTTCTCAGTTTCCTCTGTACAGGCAGTCCGGGCACCAAAATACAGAGAATTGGTTCTCACAATGTTCCCTAATGGTTCCTCTTCCTGAGATATGGCAACATCATTTACTGACAGCTGCTTTGAGGTGGCCTCATGTATAATGTATGATGATATTCCATTCTCTATGACTATGGAATACTGAATCTCTCTCTTCGCTATTAATTCTATTAATAGCAGCAGTATTCGAGGTAGCTTGAGGCTCGTCTACTTGTCCTGTGACAGTAATGACTTCCTGCTGAGCGAAGCCTATAGAGATTTCAGGAACCACTTTGTGCTCCAGTTCAGTAGTATTTGAACCAGCACTTTTATCATCAACGATTTATATTCCATGACACTAGAGGCTTGAGTCACCACAGAAGATTTCTCCTCCCCTCCCTCATCATCATAGATGAACGCACCTTTGGAGGGAAGTTGTCGCTGACTCACGTACAGCTGACGGATCAACGCTCACTCAACTTGCGCACTGTGAGAAGTGGAATTATGCGATGAAACCTGCGAACAAGGTAAATCTGTTCGCGGCGATGCTGATAGAGCTGTGAACGACGAAGCTTGCAAACTGTTGAACTCTGCTCACGGTGAAGATGGCGGACTGGCAACAGTGGCCAGCGACGAATTCAAGCTGAGACTAGCTATTATCGGCGATGATGAAGGTTGAGGAGCGGCTAGCCATGACGAGTTATGAGAGTCAGCGAGTGACGAAGCTCTCGATCGCATCTCAATCTGACGCAAATTGATAGCAGTTGTCGTCCGTGACCTGAGAGAAAGAGTTCGCGACTGCGAACTGGGAGGCGAAGTTTGCGACTGCAAACTGTCCGACGAATTGCGTGCCTGCGAATGGAAACAGCGGCTAAGACGAGCATTGTTTTTCAGTTGGCTGACGATGTCTAGGAGGGCTCCTCGCTCTGCCTCTAGGCGCCTCTAGGTCGCCTGCAACTCCTCTGTTTGATGATAGTCCGCAGATCGTTAATCATTTCTCGCATGTCTCTCCCATTTTGTGATTCCACTCTCCATTTCTCTCTCTCTCTCTCCAGAATCGGTGCTCTGATACCAATGATAGGAACCAGACAATTTGCGTATATTAAGTAAGGAATCAAGAGAAATCTCAGAATTCCTGGAGCAATTGCAAAGGCAGAAACCCAGCGTACAAGAAAGAGAAGAAACAGAAAATAGTGAGACACTTTGAGTCGTCTCGCACTCCCAAATCCCAGTCCCAAATTTCTGCCTACCTCCTTCTTTCCTTCCTCCCACTCTTATACTAATTCTATTCTAAAGGGTCGGCCCAAACCCATGACTTACATGGCCCATAACCCTTATTTGACTACCAAAATTATTTAATATCAATCTATTACTACTATTATCTTTCTCTACAGCCCATGACCCTATCAGTGTATGACTATATTATAGATTGTGTCGAGTGGTTTCCTTGTGAAATGTGGCAGCTAGATAATGAGCATAAAAAGTTGAATCCTTTTTAGGGTTTACAAGTCAAATTATATGAATTTATCAAAAAAAAAAGTCAAATTATATGAAAATTTCAGATCAGGTTTGCAAGTAAAATTACATGAAAAATTCAGATGTATTAGTAATTATTATGATTGTTCACTGACTTGGGCTTTTTTTACTTTATAATTATTATTTGGTAGAGGGTATCATGTATAAGTAGTATGAATAAAGTTTAGCACTGCTGCATTACGAAGTTTCGTGAAGCACGTGCCTTGTGCCTTGCCTCAATTTAATACAAACGCCTCATGCCGCCTTGTGCCTTTTAAAACTATGGCTAGTTCATCCACGACTAGCTCGAGAAGGACATGGAGCCATAATAATTTTCTCTAGTGTCTACAGGCCATTTATTTATTGCTTTCACTATATTAATGATATATCTAATTTGTCAAGTGTGCTTAATTTTAGTGCTAGTGGACTGATGACTTTTTCTTAGAAAAGAGTGAGAACCGTGAGATATTTCTAACTCCTACATATTGGTACCTGGCTACTTTGTTTGCATATTCTAGGAATGAGCTGAATAATCTCTGGCTTACAATTACTGATTTTTTTTAATCTACAACAGAATTCATGTTGTATGTTATCTCTAAAACTGATCGTACCTTTGACTAAAGAACATTGGGAATGAAAGTAGTTGATAGAGTAAAGAGGCAAAGAGGGAATGAAGAAGGAAAGGAACACAGTTTATTAATTGAAATTAAGCGAAAGGACAGGCATAACACTCTCCTGCAAGAACTTAGTCTTGGCTGAGGAGAGTTGCTTTCCCAAGCTAGCTTACCAGAATGAGACTACTCAAATGTAAATTAAGCAAAGAATAATAAAAAAACTGGTGATTGGTTAAGGGAGTAGCTGAATCTAAATCTATATCTATTAATTCCAATTATCATGCATCATATCCCCTGGATTATGCAATTTTTATGTTTGATTTATTTGATTAAAATGTAACTAAAACAAATTCATGGACAAAAATATGGCCACTACACTCTAAAGAAAATATCAAAGTCACTTGACTCACTTCATGGTAAAATGAAACATCACCATGGTCACACTAAAGACACTGCTAAAATAGCACCATTGTCATTGCTTTCGAAGTCACATTTTTGTCCAATGTTTTTTTATTTTAGTCCTACATATGTCATTATTTCATAAGTTAATGTAATTAAAAATGTTGGTACATGCAGGTTCTAGAAAAGGCGTTGGAGGTATGGGATTTGCAAGTAATTCCACTTGACAACCCAGTCGCAGAGCATGCTCAAATTGACCCAGAACTTGAAAATGCATTTATCTGTCATTTGCGGGACCATTGGTTCTGCATCCGGAAAGTGAATGGGGAGTGGTATAATTTTGACAGCCTCTATGCAGCCCCGCAACACCTCTCCAAGTTCTACCTCTCCGCTTACCTTGATTCCTTGAAAAGTTTTGGGTGGAGCATATTCTTGGTCAGGGGGAATTTCCCTGAAGAATGTCCAGTCACCTCATCTGAGGCATCTAATGGTTTTGGACAGTGGCTCACACCTGAAGATGCTGAGAGGATTACAAAGTCTTGCAACTCAGCCGGCAGCAGAGCTGGCGGAGGGAGAAGGCAGCGGCAAGATCTCCAGTCCAGGGATCGAGAAATCTTATTGCTTGACCAAGAGGATGAAGATTTGAAAGCCGCCATAGCTGCAAGCTTGCTTGATTCCTTGCCTGCACCACTCAAGACTGTATCTAGCAGCGGCCTCCCTGAAGAACAAAACGAGGCAAGCAAAGGGGAGAGTTCTTGATTTTTTTTTATAGAATCACAAAGAAAAAAGAATATAGATTTTCATATTGAAGCTAGAAAACATTCAGCCGGAGTGTCATAACTGTGAAGCATAAATCTTTCTTTATGCTGTTTATTGAATATTTATTTCAGGCGTGGCATTATAAAACGGTACTCCTCATTATAAAAGGAAGATAAACATCACATTTTATTAAGCTGATCCGATACAACTAGAGTGGCTTTGCCCGGTTTTGTTCAATTTTTTAGTTTGGACAGTTTCCGGCCTGCTTACGGTAGGAAAATGGGCAGGTAATATCTATTCAATTCTACATCAGGAAAAAATAATTGCTGCGGTTGTTATACCTGATTCCTTAATCTATACAAATGTTGCCTAAAGGCCCAAAACTGGCCGTTTTGGAAGGAACGTGAATTGTATTGAAAAGTATTTGGCTGCATTTACTCTTGTTTTTTCGGTTTATTAGCCTTATAAGTCAATTTTTTCAACACGTAACTTTTGATTTCACACATTGAATTGTATAATACTCTGTAGTAGAAATAAGTAAGGTTGCAGTTATTTCTTCGGTTGAATTGGTTGAATTGGTTGAGATTATTGTGGACAAAAGTAGTGTGACTCTTAATTTTTGCACTTTTTCGGTTTAATTGTACGCCTTATAATTTTAAATGATGAAGCACTCAAGAATTAACAATGTAATTAGATAACAATTTGTGATGCTTTCGTAGTGGACAAAGTGACATTTTTTTATATTGGAACCGGCCCGGCCCCTAAAAAAATTACCCGGCCCTATCCGGACCGTTTTCTAAAAACAAAAATTGGAACCGGCCCGTTTTGGACTCGAACTGCCATTACTTGGACCGGACCGCGGTTCCAAGACCCGTTTGCCCACCCCTGATCAAAACCATTCCTAGTCGTAGCAATTTTGTTTTTGAATGGTTTGAGCTCAAAAATAAAGACTCACAAAACTAGTATTAGTATTTATAATAGAGAATATTATCCGAAATAGGACTAAAAAAGTTTGAAAATTTCAAAATAGGACCGCCATGTTTTTATTCCCAATATAGACTAACTACTGCCATATTTTGGCAGTACTAGACTTCAAACATGGCAGTATTTTTCAAAGTAATTACTCCTATTTTGGGAATAAAAACATGACAGTCATATTTTGAAATTTTCAAACTGTTTTTAATCCTATTTCAGGAACTTTTCCTTTATAATACGTAAAACAATCAAAACTGGTTTGGAATCTCATGAAATTGCAGAAGTTTGTGAGCAAATGAATTGATTGAATTATAAAAAATCATATTTCAAAATATATTGCATATTTAAGAAGGTTAAAATAGTATATCTTCAACAACTACATCTATGACCATATACCCGACTCAACTAGTGTTACATTTAATTAACTAACTCAACTTGCGGTAAAAGAATCAGTTCTTGAACAAAAAAAATTGCCAACAATAGTGTCTCTCAAAGTGTTAAATGAGTCACTATAAATACAACAATGATTTGCAGAATCACGAATATGAGGATATCCTATTAAATAAGCTCACGTTTTGGCCCTGTTTGAATGTTAGAGGTGATTTTGGATTTGCATCCTCTACCGCACGACAATCTGTTTGGCGCAAATTCGACGACAACAAGAATAGGGAGGGAGGGGACGGCATGTACTCTGCCGCATCCGATGACTTATAAAAGTTAGACACCTACCTGACTTGTCAAAGCCAGGCAGAGAAACCGTATCTGGTGATTTTAGCTTGCAAATTGTGTTACCGATTTGATAATGATTAAATATGTAAAATGACAGGGAATTAAACATTTTGTATTTTGTTCAAATATATGTTGATGTAATTATTTGAATATGGGTCATGTACATTTTATAATATTTATTACTACTTGCTTCCATTCACACGTAACTTTATTAAATTACTTCTATTAATTAATGCACTAAGACAATCTAAGGGCAACACAGTAGGTCAAGTGAGGGGTCTTACACTTACGTACGTACGGAGTGTTATTTTTATGAGAAATATATGAACCATTGGTACACGAAAGTTCTCAAAATAGAAGTAAAAATAAGATTATTTTCTTGCGTTAAATAGGAGTAAAGAGCTAGTATATTAACATACTCAAAACATAATGTCATATTATGATACTATCGAGATCATTCTAATAACATATTAATATGACAATATATAATAATTTCATAACAATAGAACTTTCTCTTATTCAGAAGCACTTTCAAACCTTTTGATTTTGAAAAGTTTTACGGAGTAGCATTTACTCTTAAGACCCACTTTAATTGTCCCATATCATTTTCTAAGTGGCTTCAAAACCATTCCTAGTAGTAGCAATTTTGTTTTTGAATTGTTTCAGCTCAAGTACAGACTCACAAAACTAGTACAAGTACTCGGTTAATAATACTCAAACAGTTAAACTGGTTTGGAGTCTCATGAAATTGCAGAAGTTGGTGCTCCAGCAAATGAACTGATGATTGAATTATAAAAAATCGTATTTCAAAATATATAGAACACATAAGAAGCTATTAAGGTTTCTTTGAAACAAGCATATATAAAAAGGTTAAAATAGTATATCTTCAACAACTACATCCGTGACCATATACCCGACTCTAGTGTTACATTTTATTGACCAACTCAACTTGCGGTAAAAGAACCAGTTCTTGAACAAAAAAATTGCCAACAATAAAGCTCACATTAAATACAACAATGATTTGAAGAATCACGAATATGAGGATATCCTATCAAATAAGAAAGCTCACATTTTGGCCTTGTTGGATGTTAGAGGTGATTTTGGATTTGGATCCTCTACCCGCCCACCACACGACAATCTCTTTGGCGCAGATTCGAGGACAACAAGAATAGGGTGTGGCATGTACTCTGCTGCATCCGACGATCCGCGACTTATAAAAGTCAGACACCTACCTGATTACCAAAGCCAGACAGAGAAACCGTATCCGGTTATTTTAGCTTGCGAATTGTGCTACCGATTTGATAGAGCTAGTTTTTCTTTTTTTATAAATCAGAAAGGAGAGCTAGTTGTTCTTTAATAATGATTAAATATGTAAAATGACAGGGAATTAAACATTTAGGACCTGTTTACTTTCCCGTGTAAAACACTGTTAGCTTACTAAAGCAGCTGAAGTAAACATAGTTGTAGAATAAAACGCCGCTTACTAAGACTTCTATCTCCTTAAAGTGACGCGTATTAAAACATGGAGCCCCCATGTATTAAATAGCCGACGAGTTAAGCTTTTTCAGATGACAAACATACCCTTCTATATTAAAATAATAACAAGCTTTTTCAGATGACAAATGAGGAGTACGCCATTGATATCTATCTTTTTTGGTTGCCTCGCTCTGCCTCCTATACTACTAGAAATCTATTGCTTTCTACCAAGACATTGACGCCCAGATGACTTCCTCCAAACAAGTTATATGCCCGAATTGAAATTGTGTACCCGGTTTAGATTTCTTCATCATTTTTAGGTTTTTTCATTAAGAAGAATTTTCAACCGAATCTGAACTTTTTCATGGAGATGCTCTGCAAGTATGTTTTTATTGACACACGATAGTTACCGAAGAGAATAAAATTGATAAAAAGAAGATGGAATGGAGCAAAATTTCCACATCTTTCCAAAGGAGATCAGAATCTTCAAAGTCTTCTTACATTTGTGAATTTTTATGAAGAAAGATTATTATGAGTACATGAATAGGGGAATGACAGAGGTTATTGAGAGCTTTCGTATGACTTGATAACCCCAAAGAGGAAAATAGTGCGCAAGGTTAGGGAAGAAGGGGTTATTTTTTACTTTAAAATTTAAAGCCTAACTTAATCTGTATGAAGTAAATGTTTCATTACTAAGCATGTTTTATTAAGCAATGGCTAGATAGCCCAGAGTTTAGTAAGCGTCATTTACTAAGAAATGAAGTAAACATGTCTTTAGTATTTTGTTCAAATATATGTTGATGTACTTATTTGAATATGAGTTATGTACATCTTATATGGAGTAATATTTATTACTACTTGCTTACCTTCACACGTAACTTTATTAAATTACTTCTATTAATTTTTGCACTAAGACAATATAAAGGCAACACGGTAGGTCAAGTGAGGGCTCTTACACTCTTACGTACGTACAAAGTATTATTTTTAGGTAGATTCTATGGTACCCATAAGAGTACCATAAGCCTGCACATTCCCATGCCCAACCACTGCCACCGCCTCTGGCAGATCTAAGACCAAGCAGCCACCACTCTGGCAAATCTGAAACCTAGCGGCCACCACCTCGACAGATCAGATCTGAAACCAATGTCGTTAGTTGGTCGAGCACCACAAATCGATCTGGAATTCATCAAACCTTAGATTCATCTGCATTTTACCAAAATTGATCAATCCTCGCCAGAAGATAGTGATAACAAAAGGGGGAAGAGAAACAGTCACAAACCTTGGACAGCGACGAAGAATGAACAACGATGAAGAAAGACGACTGGCGAGGAGGAGACCCAGTGACGGAGGATGCAGAGCAGCGCCTGAGGCCTGAGGGCGCGCGGTGAAAGTGTTGTGGCGGCAAAAGGATTTGAAGCGTTCAGAGATAAACAGGTCACAGAGAAGCGCGCGTAGAAGGATTGTTGGGAGGGAGGATGGAGTGAGGATGGCACTGTGTTGATGGGCGATGGAGAACATGCAATGATGTGCAGTGATGTGCGATGTTCGATGGAGAAGATGGACAGGGATATGGCCATACGGGTCACATTTTTGGGAAATGTAAAAGTTGTCTTTTTTTTTAAATGGAAAGTGTCGTAGTGATAGATGAGCCATTTTTTCTTATTTTTATGAGAAATATATGAACCATTGTTACACAAAAGTTCTCCGAATAGAAGTAAAAATAAGATTACTTTCTAGCGTTAAATAGGAGTAAAGTACTACTCCGTAGTATATTAGCATACTCGAAACATAATGTCATATATTATGATACTATTGGAGATCAGTCTAATAAAATATTAACATCAATGCATTAATATGACAATATATAATAATAATAATTTCATAATAACAGAACATACTCTTATCTAGAAGCACTTTCAAGCCTTTTGAGAACAGAAAATCTTTGCTAATCTTATTTGTGTTTTCCAAGTCGGAAGATTCAACAATTCATCCAACCAATTACAGAGTAGGTAGCTGTTTCACTTCAGCAAATTTGGAAAAGAAGATGCTCCCCACGGAACACGACCAAAAACAAAAAAAAAACATGTCTTCATTCATTTATGACAATTGCCTTGTTCCCAAGCTTGGGAAAATAATGTTACATATATAGTATGATCCAATGGAAATCTCAAATGTGAGAGAGAACACATCAAGTAGCAGTGGCCAATCGGCCATGGATCACTTTGATGACTCCTCAGTTAATAGAGTCCATACTTTTTTAACTTCTTGAAGACTCTAAATCTCTCACAATCCTCTTAGCCTGCCCATACAAAAGGAATTATCAACCAACATTTTACAATCATAGAGATTTGTGACTATCATTGATCCAGATAGAAGCAGAAAAAAGACTAGGAAATAATTAAACATCTTTTTTACCTGCTCCAATGTTAAAAACATAATCACATTCCATGAGCCTAGCCGGCCGAAATTTGGTATAAAACCTTTGTAGAACGCAAGTGGTCCCTGTAGACACAACACTAGAGTTGCATAGACTGATAGACTAACATTTGAAATGCTAAGCATAACTATCAGTTCATCTGATAAGCTTAGAGCAAGTTATGATGACAGATTCAATTACTGAATCCATATTGAAATGATATAATATGAGATATATATAACACAGAGAAAAAACACGTACATCATTCCTCAACGTCTTCACAAAGCAATCTAATGTATTCTTGTATGTTGGATCACCCATCATTCTGGATTTAACCTGCATGATGGTAGCTATTGTAAGTGATTTGCCTACCTCATGTCAACGGCAATACAAATTATATGCAATCAAAAGTAACATCTAATTCTATATAACTTAATGTGCCAATATCATAAAAATGGAAGAGTGAAAAGGATAATATGACACATTGGGAAGAATTCGGTTGAAAAGTATAGAAATTTATTAAAAGAGAAACATGACATTGAATAATATTCAAGGACCAGAAACCATGGAAACAGTGAAACAAACAAGCAGATGGAAACTTATTAAGGAATCTAATAATAAACTAAAAAAGGAAAACATTTATAAATACCACGTCCACTGGGGAGCCTATGCAGACAGCAAAGAAACCAGCTCCAAGACCAGATAAAATGTGAGTAAGGACATTGTCTGTGAACCCAGGAATCTTAAGAATTGTCTGCAAATGAAATTTACACAAATATATTAAATAGTTAGCACAAAGTTGATGGTCAATGAAAAATATGAATATGCTACAAATTCTTATGGCAAGTCAACCTGCTTCACTTGGTCATAACTTGCTAATTCAGCTGCATTTATTATAGCATTTCGCCCAATGTTTGGTCCAATTCCAGTCCAAAGAGCTGTGACTCCCTCCTAAACTCCATATGCCAAAAAAAGGTAAAACCAAGGTTATACCCAAGAGGTGACTAAAAATCTTTGGAGGTAGAAAAAGCAGGGTAAGGTCAGAAGACTAACTTGTCTCACTATGGTAGAATAAGCATTCAATGCTCCAGAGTAACGCCTTGGCACACCTGGAGGTAATTTTCCTTCAGATTGGAGCCTCACCTTAACAAGATCAGTAGGGTTTGCAATAGCTATACCCAAAGCACCTGTATGACAAACAATCATCACATTGAAACATCTCGTATATTACAAAAAGAGCTAATCAAAAACAAAAAGATTAGAGTGCAAGAAATAAATATAACAAGTACATATTATAGGATTTTAAGGATAAAATCCGTGGGTTTGGTTTATTCGATATTCTTACCAGTTGTGAGACCAGCAAGTATTTTCTTTGTAAGAGGCACTTCCCCAACATGATCTTTGCCCACATACAAGTTCTTTACCTGCACAGAAATAAATGAAAAAAAAGAAGAGGTGCAAGGATATTATAGCGGGAAGAGTTTTTTATGCTAAAAACTAGGAAGAGGAAAATTAATCAAAGAAGAAGAAGCATACAGGCTCATACATCCCAATGCGTATGCCCCCAAATAGACATTGACGGTGTAACCCTGGAACAATTCCCTTCCATAAAGCAGCTAAACCTTCTTCCCTGGCAATTGTGCCTACTGTACCCAACATTCCTCTATATTTTGGTAGAGCCAATCCATCCCCTTCAACTGCTTTCTTTTGGAGCTGAAGCCTAACTTTAGCTGTGTCTAATGGGATGGTACAAATCTGAACAACAAATCATAAACATATGGAAATCGCATAATAAGAGGGAAAATTTGACAAAAGGCTCACTAAAATCAGGATATAGCATCAGAATTGTTTTCAGACTCTCAATTGGTCACAATAAACCGATAAAGTCAAGACAAATGACATAATTAAGTGGACTTACTAAACCATAGCATCAGACTTCCCTTTTGAATCAAATTAAGTATCCTTTAACTATCTTGGATTAGTGAAATTAGTGGGACTTTACAGGCAGAAAAGATAGAAGATCCAATTTTTGCATCAAATGAATGCTAAAGTAACACAAGTAGCAGGAATATTTAGAGCTACATGGGAAATGACAAGGATAATAACCCCATTCAACTCATGCCATGCTACAAATAAGGTCAACTGATACTCAGTAGCAAATGTCGGCATTAAAAAGACTAGCCCAATTATTGCTGAGTCAACCAGGATGAAAAGTATACAGCAAGAACCAAAAATCGGTCTTTTGCCGAGCCAACCCATACATGAATTGAAGCTCTCATACAAAATTGACCAAAATGGTAATGTAAATGTACAAGGGTAGACTGACCAATTTCATTCGAAACGGAAATAGATAATCAGGGACCATCAGTTAATGGTAAATTGAGTAGCAAAAAATAGGTAGATGAATGTGTAATGAAATACCTCGGCGAAACAAGCAGCAAAAGCGCTACTAGCAAAAGTGCCAGCGAACGATATGTCCACTTTGGACTTCCCGTGGTCAGCCATCGTTGAGCAAGATGCTGGTTTTCTTCGCAGAAAACCGAGCTCTTGAAGAAAAAGAAAGACTGTAATTAGAGAGGGAAAAGAAATCTGATTGTGGCAAAGCGGTAGCAGCGAGAAAATATAGTAAGGCGACTGAAGGGGGTGATGCAGATTGGTGTCTCGGACAGCGGGCAAAAGGCAAGCAAATTTCCATGGTGATATGCCCAATGGCCACTAGCCCATTATGCATTCCACGAGTAACTCAACGACCATGTGCTTAGGTGAATTTATGAAATTAATCTTTGCATTGGGTGATTTTAGTCTCTAGCTAGGGAGAGAATTCATAAAAATTAATGTCATTGATAACTACTAATAGTGTTCACAACAAGAAATTGAATAATGCTAAGCTAGTAACTACTACTACCTAGTAACTACTACTACGTCAGTTCCTTTTATATTGGGACGGAAGAAGATGACACGAGTTTTAAGAAAATCGGGTTTGTGTGATTTTGAACCACACAAACATTATCAAATAAGGTACTACGAATGAGACAATTAAATAGTGACTACCAATATGGTAAAACGAGACATTTAAAAAGGAACAGATGGAGTAGTAGTGTTCACAACAATAACTAGTTATACACTCATACTTCTAACTCCTACCCATCTCCGTTTTTCTCAAATGAACTCAAAATAATGTTCATTTAATCTCAATGTCATTTTCATCTTATGTGATTCTCTCTAAGTTAGAAGATAGAAATGTTAGGGGTAGGGGTATTAAATAGACATTAGTTTGATTCACCTCAATTTATTCCTATGAGTACGATTGCTAGTTCTGACTATTTAAAGTTCCAAAATACTAAAAGAAAAAAAAACACTACAATGAAGAAAAAGAAATGAGCTCAAGCCTATATTTTGATAATCAGACTCGGAAGTGACCCATTTTAGTAATCAGGTTACACGCGTGTCGATTCGAACCTGACATGACATCTGGTTAACACTAAGTCAATTCAGTTAGCGCCATTATAAAACTATTTTTTTGGCCCGAGGTAATACACCTTTCGATGTAGAAAACGCCAGGGAACATTTAAGCTTTAAATTTAAACAGTTGTTGGAACTCCTGAACAAGTTGATAACTCATTTTACGTTGTAGTTGTTGTGGAATTTTATGTCTCGCTAGAGGTAGGGTGGAGAAAATTTTGCCTCAAGATATATAGTTTGGTCTGTACCTCACCCGTCCTTTTATTAGTTTTATTGACGATCTCCAGTGTAGATAATGTAGTACTCATCTTCTCCTTCGATGGACCTTGCTGGTTTCTATGCATGTAGTCATTGGGTGAGTCTGGAACCTAAAATTAAAGTTCAACATTCGTAGTCGTTATCTTTAGCGGCTAAACATCTCGGTAATTGTTGTGCCTTCTTCTTATTCTTTCTTGGCATGACGATGGTGAAATATTCTAGACCGCCATCATTTGAAATTCTTTTAAGTGTACCCCCAAAATTTGAAGAGGGCAAACTTTGGGACATTTGGTGGGAAACTTCATTATTAGTGTCTGTAATTTGAGAGATTGTTCCCCTTCAAATTCAGTATATTTATCATTAGGGACAATCATTGAACTTACACGAGACTTAGAGCATATCCAATCTTGAGGTGCATTGGTGCGGCTTATAAATGGAGAAGGTCTAGATCAAATATGAGCAAGAAGGGTAGGGTGCATTTGAACGACGCTCTAGTGCGGAAGGGAAAAAGCAAATAAAACATGAAAAGTTGATGAAAGAGAAAAAGAAAAGCTTGGTATGTTGCTTGGATAGTTTGTCGGAGGGTGACACTGAGGGTCTCAATGTTGACCCTTTGTTAGACCGTGTGTTGTGCCATGTCAACCCTTCGGAGTCCATTTATATTCACTATTGGAGAGTACATATTATTATAGAAAATGCATTTGCTTAGTTGGAATCCCAATCCACTCAAGCATTGGGGATGTCCTTACGGGTAGGGATCTGTTCCTTATCAATTGTGGTAAGTGGTAACTAGGTTGTTTTTCTGAGCTAGAATGAGAACATTATCGAGTCAACCAAATTAAGTACTCCAAGGCAAAGATTTCGTAACCATAAGGTCATTTGCCTTGAACACATGCTTTGAACACACATTTTTTACTTTTCCTTATTTCTCACCTAATTAAAAGTGTGTAATGTCCAAAAATTTAGTATGGAGAATGATTACACGGATCTTTATAACAAAGAATAGATTTTCTGTGACAATCACATTCGGCCAACTCTACTTCAATTGTCCACTAAACATATATAGCGTTTATCCCTTTCTATGAAATTATAGGTGTAGGAGAATTACTCACTATTTAGGCAGCCTTGATGATATATACCCCAAATCAATATAATTAATGTCGATCTTGGTAAATTACATTGATGAAAACGGTTAGCAACACAAGAGGAGGGTGAATTGTGTGTGCGTGGAACCGTGGCAGTTTTTCGCCTAGTTCTAGTGCGGGGTAAAGGGATATACGAAATAGTAAAGTGCTCAAGGATTTAACGAGGAAAAATCCCTTGGCTCAAAGGGATTAAAAAACCTCGACCTCCCTCGGAGGAATTTTAACAACTTCACTAAAAAGCCTTTGATGATTACAAGGGAAACTCTCCTAGTCTACCCTTGAGCCACCCCAACTCTATCCTCTCTAGGAAGAGTTATGCTTCTCTACCTTGCGGGTAGAGAGCCTCTCAGCTTTACAACAAAGCTCTCACACACACAAACCAACCAGAGGAGGCTACTCTTAGCCAATCCTCAAAACCCCATTACAATATGAAGAAGGGAAAGAAGAAACTATATCTAGAACTCCGTATGAGCAGTTTCAGGCAGATTGTGCTTGATATATTCTTGAGTGTATCTCGGTGTATTTCTTGCTGCCAGCCTTCCTACTTCTCTTTTGCCCCTTTGCTCTTTATAGGCAGTCTTGAAGAGAATCCGTTGGAGCTCCTTTGATTCTTGCCTTGATATAATTCAAAAAACCTTCCATCTTGATACACAAGTCAAACTAGCATGTATAGTTTTATAAGACAAGAAGTAATTGTTGTTGTGGGTCAAGGCAATAATTTATTATCTCACCATATACACACATACAAATTATGCTAGTAAATATTCCTTAGCACATATAAATTTATTCGAATCATTTATTCAAAGGAAGCTTTCCTTTAATAATAATTCATGCAACGTTGCTTTTTTTGAAAAGTCAATTGCCTTTGTTGCTAATTAAGGAGCCAGTTAAAAGAGAAGATTCAATTTACTTCAAATCAAGCTACGGTCACTTCCATTAAGATCAATTACAAAAGGTAATATTTTCTTGCAAGCCATATTCAAATAATGCCATAGAATCATGCAATTATTCTAAAGTAACTTTCCTTAAACAAATATTCATTTAATATCTCCACCAAGGATAACATTTTCAAACCAAAGCAAGTTACGTATATTTTGTAGCAATGAAAAGATTTATGCAATCTTTTGTAAGTCAAGCTACTTTAATGACTAAATATAAACCATGCACTCATAATATAGCAAGCAAGGATATTTTTCATAAAGTGATAGGCTATACTAATAAGTGGATGTCTAATCAAATATGGAAAGAGAATAAACACTCAAATATGCACCCATATGCAAATTACGTATATCTATTTTATGGTCATGCATGCACTCATATTACTTTCCATAAAGCATATCTAACAATACATTCCCCAAAATATCCAATCAATTATGGAAAGATATTAATGCATGTAAAATATCATACGTTGAAAGACATGCATATGCAGTTTACGGAACAGGAGCGGTTCTGTACGTCGTTCTACCTACATGGTTAGTCATCAACAAAACCACATACTCAACATAAATGAAATCGTAAGACACATTTAGTCACATTAACTTCACAGCTTGAATTATTTCAACAATATATATTGCATGCATGTTGTTGGGATATATTATCCCGGCCTATTACTGTTCAGGAGCCCAAGATATTATCCAGTACGGAGCCCGAGCAGATAGGCCCACTTTGGCCATTAGGCCCGGCATCGGCCCGTTTGGCCCATTAGGGTGGAGAGCCCCTTCTCCCCTTCCCCTATTTATAGGAGGTTTTCCCTCCATGTAAAGGATCCCTTCCTTCTTCTTTCCTCTTCTAGAATAGCTTACAAGACTCCTTTAATGGGAGCTCAAAATGTACTATGTAATGGTGAGGAGAGTCCTAATGAGAAAGAGAGGGCTTGGACATTAGCCTAAAAAGTCCCGTGGTTTTCTCCCTTTCGGGTTTCCACGTAAAAACTGAGCTTGTTCATACACATTCATACATATATTTACTATATCGCGTTGGATTAAACTCAACACTGGCGCCGTCTGTGGGAATCTGTCCAAAAAGATTCATGTGTTCTACTGCTCTTGAGTTTCTACATAGAGATTCACTCGAAGTAGACTGATTCCAGCGAAAAAGAAGAAAATATTCTAGGGAAAATGATTCTGGGAAGCGAAGAAGCTACGGATTCTGGGAATTCGAATCTAGTTTGTCTTTTTACAGATCTGGATTGCGGCCGCCGGAGCCGCCGCAACTGCCGTCGTTCCCACCGCCGTGGACCTTCCATTGCGTCCAGCTGCGTCAGGGGAAGCTCGCCGCAGCATCCCAGACATTTCCAGCGGCCACCGCCTGAGTCGCACACCGCCGCTCGTCAACAGCGGTCTGAAGCCGACGCAACATGGGGGTTCTATCAGTTAAGAGCCTCATGACTTCCACCATTAATGGTGGTTTTGAGCTCGGAAGAGGTATAGTCGGTAGTTTGGTCGAGCTTCCGCTGGGGACCGGCTCTTCCGGCCACCCTTACTCTGCAGCAGGTTCCATCGCCGCCCTCGGTCGGCGACTCAGCGGCCGACCTGTACTGCTGGCCTTGGTGGGGGTTATCCTCTGCTACTCCGAAGATGCTCCTCGCCTGGCTGTTAGCAGGCCACGTACGAAGGGCCAGAATCTCAAAAGGGAGATAGCAGTGAAAGACGAGCGGAGCACTTTTGCATTATTTGAGTGAAGGAGGAGTCAGCCGAACTGCTCAAGGGATTAAGGGTCCAATTGGTAGATGAGCTCATTATTTCAGCCCGTATGAGAACATAAAGCTTGGTCAATGGGAGGATTTGGGATAATGTTGACCAAGTCCAAATTGACAACAAGCAAGGGAGCAAATCTGACTCCACAAAACTCCACTGGCCGAATATCTATTTTGAAGCTAAGCACCCCGTTCTTGCATTTCTTTTAATACTCCGTAAATGTGTTAAAAATAAGAAATGTTACTAGTATTTTTATCATCACTATTTATTAGGGATTAAAATCTCCCGAAATGGAATAGTGCGAGCGATGCTCGGGTGATAATTTTCACCGTCATTTTAATTAATGATGGGTTGTTGTGGGCCCGTTGGCCCGCTCCTGATCGGCTTTAATTAGCGAGCGGAGCATACCGCAATGGCCTTTGATAGGATAATATCATTGCTATTACCTGTTATATCGCTATTATTTATTAGGAATAAAATGTCCCGAATTAAATAATGCTGAGCGAGGCTCAAGTGATGGTTAGTTCAGCTAACATTTTATTAAATATTTAATTTCTTGAGGGCCCGATGGCCCACTCTCAATCAGCTTGATTAAGCGATCCGAGCGTCTCCAGAAGGGCGATGCCCCGACGACGCATTTTAATTGGGGGGTTACGCATTGGTCCGCATGGCACCAAGTGCCCGAGCGACGATCGTACCCTAGTACCATCTGCGCCACTAGGCGAAGTGACTGTGCCAAACGCGGCCTGTGGGGCCCGAGGGCACCGAAGTGCTCAACCTCATTTTTTCGAGGGTAGTGCGACCAACTTGGGTCTGAGTTTGAAAACTCACGGACCGGTGAATATTTCTATGTGACGTTCGGCGGGCTGCTAATTGGCTCCGCCGCGAGCTGCTACGTCCATTAACCCCGCACGATGAGCCGGGCCGAGGGTCACGATGACCCATAGGCCGGTAATCGTGGGTGTTAGAGGGGAGCCACGATGACCCATGCAGATGGTTATGCGTGCATATTTATTGTCGGGCCGTGCGGCCCGTTACCATGCTTATTGCGCAGCCGAAGCCGCTCGACGCGCTTGAGCAAAATGATTAGAAGACGCTCGGCCCGAGTCTTGAAGGCGTGCAGGGCCGGCTAAAGAGGAGACCATCTGTAACGCCCTAAAATCAGGTCTAGCCGGTAATGTATAATTTTAAAATAATATTCATTCTCGTATGTTAATCTTAACGGTTAAATAACATTTAATAAAGAATTACAATAACAGCTAGGCATCTAACTATTCGAAACCAAATGTATAAAAAAAATGAATTCTAATCATTTCTTTTAACTTCTTTTTGGGACGAATTTTGGAAACATGTTCGGAGCGAGACTTATTTCAAATTGAAAACAACCTACATTAAATAAGTGATTTACGTATGTATAAAAGAAACCACTGTAATAGGATTAAATAAAGGGAGTTTAAAAAGTAATCAACAAAATTTTAAAAAGAAAAAGGGAAATGGTGTAAGATCCACCCATTCCACATCCAATTACACGAATTGGGTAAATTAAAATCTCTGAATGCTTCTGGGATAGGAAGAAGCCAAATTAACATGCATCATATTATAAACTTAATGCCACGTGAAGCATTTTGTAGTAATGGGAACAAAGTAAGTAATGATGAGGATAGGATAACTTTAGCTGGCCGAAGATAACTCTGTGTCGTTACAAACAAGAATAATTTGGGTTTATAAATACATTTTGTTGATTGGGCAATTTGGAGGTGGCAATACCACCAAGTCTGACTGAATTGAAAATGTATGGCAAGCAGTGGAGTTTGGCTTTACCTTAGCCTCGTAATATGGTCAGGCGTTGGATCGATAGTGGAGACTGTGATGTCTCTTTATATATATAACCATATGACCAAGTTGGGGAATTACTTTTCGTAACAAAAACTAAAGAAAAACAAGAGAAGGAGAGAAACTAGCAACTGAGTTGAACAATCGGTGATGTGAGGAGGAGTTACGATCCAGCCTAGTCATATTCGGATTCAACAGATTCTTCTCAATAAGGTCAGTACGTTTCCGCCCCATTGTAGTATAATTCCCGTCCCCGTTTCCTGTTATGTTATGGGGATGATGAACACCGTTTAGCCTTAGAGATGTTTTGTGTGATCTAAAAATGTGTTCTTCAAATTTATAACAATTATTGATTTATAGTAATTACATTTTTATTCAATTTGAATGTCAACTGGAAATGAAGTGTAATTGACTGCGAAAAATGAATAATCTAAAAATTAATGGTTTAATTACGAGAGTACATATTGTCCAGCCGTTAATATTTACTGGAAATTCATAATATGACTGAAATATATATTATACTAGGTAATAGATTTAGATATGCATGCAAGAATTATGTGTCGTAAGCTACGTAGTACCAATTTATGAAATAACTAAATGCTATTTAGTGAGTTTTATATGTACGAATCAGCAACCAAAATTAACAATAATTTCATATACTAAGTCAGTCTAAGTGATAAGAGATCCTTAAATTTTAATCTCCCTATATATTTAGGGTTAAAGGATTACATGTTTATACACCAAGCTCTTAGGAACATGCACTTGTATTAAATGTATCTACTTGTTATATGTATAAATACACATATGAACTAATACGGGAGTCTCAAAAGTACCGATTTTTACATGCACATATTTATTAGCATACGTACGTAGTTATGTATACATAATAAAAGTGGGTTCACATACATGCATGCTAACATACATATAGGACATATGTATTTCTGGGTGTGAGCACTAAGTATATGCATACGCATATAGATGTGTGTGTGCCACTAATGTAATAGAAATTTCAGGTATTGAGTGCTAAATAATCCTTCGAGTTAGATCTCAGTATATAAAAGATAGAGTTAAATATACGGACATGTGAATATATTAATAATGATTAGTTGTTAATATGTAATATATACATAAAGTATAACATATGTACGTAGGCAGAATATGCATGCACTAATACTTAATTATGTTGTATGTGACCTGATACGTTACTTAATGTTTATATATAAATAATTAAAATGACTTATTATTGTTATTGGCAGTATGAAATCTATAGTAATCTGAATACATTTATACGACATGTTTTATTTGGTCATATTATGTCAAAAGTATAAATTCTTTATTCTCCATAACTGAACCATTTACTAAAATAATACGGAGTACAAAATAGGTTGGTCTAAATTAGTTATTTAAAGAAGGTTTGCTAGGTAAAGTTTAAATATGACATTGTGAACTCTCAACTGATTATGATTAACCAGACAACTAAACTAAGAGAATATGTTTTCTAAAAGCCTTACTCTTGATCCGGTACTCTAACGAGAATACTTCTGTTCTGTTTAGTGTACTATGTACACTCCTGAAATTTTGTTTAGAGGAAATAGTGCTCTCCTGTTTAGTGTACTACGTACACTCCTGTTCTGTTTAGTGTACTTCGTACACTCCTGAAATATTTTTAGAGCACTATTACTCTCCTGTTAAGGTTCGAGTCTCTTCGGTGATCTCGTCCTTTCTGTTCAGCTAGCTTCTGTCAGGGATTGGTACGTGTAGCTCCGGCGATTACGTTTCCATATTCCTTCTGGGTAATGTGGGTACGGACTTCGATCGACCGTATTCCTTACCGTTAGTATTCCTCGGTCTAGGTCCAGATTCTAGAGTTCAAGGCTAAATGAATATGTATTTTTCAATGATAAGTTTCAGAATAAGAATTATCTGATAATTATGATATCTGAGTATGCTTCTGTTCTTTACACAAGAAGAATATAATAAGTATTTCAGAATAAGAATTATCTGATAATTATGATATCTGAGTATGCTTCTGTTCTTTACACAAGAAGAATATAATAAGTATTTCAGAATAAGAATTATCTTATAATTATGATATCTGAGTATGCTTCTGTTCTTTACACAAGAAGAATATAATAAGTATCTCAGAATAAAATTATCTGACAATTATGATATCTGAGTATGATTCTATTCTGTATGTAAATATCTGTATTTTTTATAACAGCTGATCGGTTCACCCAGGTATGTTATATGTTTGTCTGATCAAATGTGAATTATGATATGTTAATATGTTCTTTGATATGTTAATATTATTGTTATGTTATTACCGTACCACTCAGCACATTGCTGAGCGGGTAGTTGTGTGTTTTCCTACCCGTAGGTTGAGCACGGAACCCGCTAGGAGCACAGGGATGGAAAGAGGCGTAGGACGCATTTGCATGCCATGTTATTTGGTGTTTTTTTTATAAAGGACTTTAATATGTCATATGTGATTTTAAGAACTTCCGTTGCACTCCTTGAAGTGTTTTATGATGTTTAAGTTATGTCTGTTTTAATAACATTCTACTCCATGTGAGTTTGACATTTTCTGGTATTTAGTAATGAAGTCGTTTTGGAATTAATATACTTTATTTTAAGTAATAAAATCTCTTATTAAATGTTTTGTGTTCAACGTAAAAAAAAAGGTACTATTTCTTGAACCACGAAAAGTATTTTTGATTAAATCCGTTCTGATTTTCCGCCAAGTGACGCGCCACTCGGGTCGGCAGGGTCGGGCCGGGTGGGGTGTTACAGTTTTGGTATCAGAGCCAATGGTTTTAAATGATTCTCTTAAACCTTGGGTAAATGGGTTTTTCTTCCTTATATAGTGTGTGTTGCATTGCATATTAGAAGTCCGCCTCCCATCCTCTTGTTAGTTAAGGTATAACGAATATTATATAGTGGATTTTTGTTCTGCGCATTTTTATATACGTGTGCGCTTATATTGATTGGTCAAATATCTAAGAGATCTGTTTGACCTCAAAATTAAAGTATTCATGGTTCTAGGGAGAAGTATAATCATTAATCAAAATAACTAAAATTTAACTTGGCTAAGGTACAAGGTAAGAAATTTCATGTCATCCTCAGTCAATTTACTACATAGAGAATTTGATAATATTGTCGGTATGAATTAGGCTTTTAAGCATAAAGCTGTAGTGAATTGCCATGATAAAACATTTCTACTTCAAAGTAAGCAAGGTGATACAATCCTCATTCAGGGAGAATTATTATCGAAATCACCTCAACTTATTTCTACGACGCATGCGAAAAGGCTTATGCGTAGAAAATATCGAGCATGACTAGCTTATGCTCGAGACACGCAAAAAGAAGCTCCCACATTAGAAGACGTTTCCATCATGCGAGATTTTTTTCGGATGTCTTTCCTGACAAGTTATTAATTAGGTTTTCCACCATCTCGAGGTGTGGAATTTACTATCGAACTAGTACCCAGTGCCACTGCCATATCAACAACTACTTATCGAACGACTTCTACTGAGATGAAAGAATAAAATGCACAAAACAATTTATATCAAGTTTTCAAAGTGTGAATATTGTCTTGATAAAGTAACCTTTCCGGGTCACGTCATTTCAGTGGATGACATATGAGTACGTGAACCCCACGAAAATACAAGCCATCACAAATTGGAAACCACCTCGAAATGTAACGGAGGTCCGAAGTTTTCTGGGATTAGCCGGTTACTATCGTCGCTTTATTAAAGGTTTTTCCTTGATAGCTTCACCTCTCCATAAACTTTTGAAGAAGAAAAAACGTTTTGAATGGACACCCGCTTGCGAAGAGAGTTTTGATAAACTAAAGAAGGTTCTTACTGAAGCTCCAGTCCTAGTCCAACCTGTTTCAGGTAAAGACTTCACCATGTATAGTGATGCTTCTCTTAATGGTCTAGGATGTGTTCTTATGCAAGAAGGAAAGGTGGTTGCTTATGGCTCGAGACAACTCAAAGAGCATGAGAAGAACTACCCCACACACGATCTGGAGCTAGCAGCCATAGTCTTTGCTTTAAAGATATGGCGACATTACCTTTATGGGGAAAGATGTTATATCTTTACCGACCATAAGAGTCTCAAATATCTTCCGACCCAGAAAAAGCTAAATTTGAGGCAAAGGCGCTGGTTAGAGTTAATCAAGGATTACGATTGTGTAATCGATTATCATCCGGGGAAGGCTAATGTTGTAGCAGATGCTTTGAGCCGAAAAACTCTAGCTGAATTACATCTCAAACCCTCACTTCAAGAGGAAATCCTAGCTGCTCAAAAGTGTGATGATCAATGTCTTAAGATAGCGGAGTCCATTTCTAAGGGGGAGAGACCAGATTTCTCTAAACAAAGTAATGGTGGATTATGCTTCCGAGGCCGTTTAGTTGTTCCTAATGGGGAAATTAAACAAAGAATTCTTCGTGAGGCACATGAAACAAAATACTCAATGCATCCGGGTAGTAACAAAATGTTTAGAGATTTGAAGAATCTTTATTGGTGGTCTGGTATGAAACGTGATATCACTGAATATACTTCTAAGTGTCTCACATGCTAACAGCGAAAACTGAACACCGAGTTTCATCTAGATTGTTATAGCCTCCTATAATACCAGAGTAGAAATGGGGTCGAGTAACCATAAGATTTTGTGATAGAACTACCATTGAGACCAAAGAAGAATAACTCGGTTTGGGTAATTAATTATAGAGCAACTCAATAAATCTGCTCATTTCATATCCATTTGATAGAATTTCTCCTTAAATAATTTGGCCGAACTATATCTCCAAGGATTAGTTCAACTACATGGGATACCCCTATCCATCGTATCCGATAGAGGTCCATGGTTCATTAGGCCTTATGAAATTACTAATTGTATCAGCTAGTAGCCTACCGACTAGCACTGCCATCAGATTTGAACCAAATACACGATGTCTTTCATTAGCTATGTAAAGAAAATATAGATCTGGTCCTTCATACGTCCTGACACATGGCTTTAGTAAAGATTTGACGTATGAAGAAGAACAAGACACTCACTCCAGACACCAAGGTGTTAAGAAACAAAACAATTCGCTTATTCAAAGTCCCCTGCAGAACCCACGTACACCACAGAAGAAGCAACTTGGGACATCAAAGAAGTGATGTTGGCCCGATATCCATATTTGTTACATGATGTTAACTAAGGTAATTTTGAGGACGAAATTTTCTTAAGGGGGAGAGAAATGTAACGCCCTAAAATCAGGTCTAGCCGGTAATGTATAATTTTAAAATAATATTCATTCTCGTATGTTAATCTTAACGGTTAAATAACATTTAATAAAGAATTACAATAACAGCTAGGCATCTAACTATTCGAAACCAAATGTATAAAAAAAAATGAATTCTAATCATTTCTTTTAACTTCTTTTTGGGACGAATTTTGGAAACATGTTCGGAGCGAGACTTATTTCAAATTGAAAACAACCTACATTAAATAAGTGATTTACGTATGTATAAAAGAAACCACTGTAATAGGATTAAATAAAGGGAGTTTAAAAAGTAATCAACAAAAGTTTAAAAAGAAAAAGGGAAATGGTGTAAGATCCACCTGTTGAGGTTTATTCCTTCAACCCTTGGACCCAACACGTAAGCCCAAAGATTTCGAGTGGAGTGAGTGTATGGTTATCTAGCCCAACAACTATTAGATGAATCAGGAAACAAGAGTAATAGCAGGCAATGTAAATAGGTATTATTAACTTCGTAATAACTCCCCTAAGTACAATCTACTTGCTAAAAAAGGCACGTCGGCCGTTCGTCTTACAAGGCAGTTAGAGACGCTGCGAGTAAGAATGCTGAAGCTAGTATGCTAAGAATAGAAGGTTGCCAACCCTTTACAATGAAATAAATGCTCCTATTTATACCCGCCAATGGGCAGGTGGCTGTACTGACGTGGCAGCCTGTGGACCGCTGGTGTCCCAACTACCAAATCTTTAGCATTAAATGCACTTCCCGCCAGAATCTAGGTTTCCCGCCGGACCAGTGGGGACGTTCGTCCACCCCGGAAGTGAGTTGGATTGCTCCAAGTGACCCTTGAGAGATATCGGCTGTTCGTCTCCTGGCCTTAATAGATACTCACCATGTGCACTGGGTTCTCTCCGATGACTACAGGCTTGCTCTGGGGACGTTCGTCGCCATCCCCGGCGGCCCGTGGTTCTGCTCCTTGTCCCTGCATAGACGCTCGTCGGCATGAGCTGCTGGGCCTGAGTCCTCCAACACCAGACGTTCGTCCATCCTCAAGGAACATGGGCCTGTGGGCTGGCCTAGTGTTCTAATTGGACGTTCGTCTGGCAAAATGGGTTAGTGGGCCGGACCTCGGCTTGGGCCCTTAACCCAACACAAGTCCCCCACTTCTGATGTTCTGAGCATGCGCAGGACATAAGGAAGTATGAACCTCCCTGAAGTAGACGTCCGTATCTTGGTACTTATGTTTATTGCATCTGGTGGAAACGTACGCTCGTGGTCATGGTGCTTGACAGCTGTTGACGGTTCAGGAAACGAGGTGACGGCTGATGTTGCGGCGGTGCATTTTCCCGAGGAAGTGTCATCATTACGTTCCCATCCCACGCACAGCGCGTGGGCCGGAATACGCTCTTTGCCACGTGTCAGCCCCTCGTTGGTTTCCCCAACGGTGTTTTCTCCTATAAATGCCGGGTTTTCCCTCTGAATTAGGGTTCCCAATTCCTGCTTTCTTGCTCTCGATTTTCCGCAGCTCTTCAAGTTTCCTGAATTCGGCCAACCATACCTTTGTAAGGTAATTTCCCCCCTCTGCTTCTTTCCTTTACTCTGATTTCTAGCCGGAATGACTTCGATGGAGATTTCCTCAAGTTCTGATTCCGGTTCGTCGGGTTCCTCCTCGGACTCCTCTTCTGAAAGTGCGAATGCACGCTCCCTGGGAAAAACTAGTGTTTCCGGAACCTCGGGTTCGGCCACGACGGTGGGAACCATCCGGGCTGATGGTGAGCCGGGTGGTGATTCCCAAGGTAGTGGGAGCAGCGCCGGGGACGGGGGTGCTGACGGGGCCGTAGATGTTATTGACGCAGTCCCCCTGAATGAGCGTCCTGCTGACTATGATTCCGGAGAGGAAGCCGAATCCGGTTCTGATGTGGAGGTGTATGATCTGGGCATCCCCACTGATATGGAGCGCCACATCTGCCCGATCAGGAGCGCACTTGACCATGACCAAGTCCTCTCCCGCGTGGCCCTCAATAAGATCCGTACTTTCCTTCCTCCGCCGTTCGTCTGGAGTGTGAGAGGTGCTGAGCATGTGATGAGGAGACGTCCGGGGATGATCATGCTTCACCTGGATTCCGTTGAAGCCGGGCTGCGGTTTCCACTTCATGCATTCTATGTGGAGTTCTTCCACTGTTTCCAGGTGGCCCCGGCGCAATTCATGCCAAACTCTTACAGATTCATATCGGCCTTCTTGGTGCGCTGCAAACTTGCGGGGGTCGATGCCACTTTGGAGCTCTTCCATTATTTCTACCGCGTCACTCCCCAGAATGCCGACGGGTATCTGAGCGTGGCCGCACGTCCTGGGAGGCGGCTGTTCAAGAGCTACCCCTCGTCCATCCACGACTGGAAGAACCGCTTCTTCTTCCTTCGATACGACGGGCCTCCTCTCCCTCTCCGGTGGAATGGGTATCCCCCAAAGATTGAGTCACCGGAGCCGACCGACGATCTGCTTTTGGATGCGGAGAAGGTGTTGGAGGGTGGCGTCCGTCCCATAGCCGGATTTCTGACCTTCGAGGCACTCTCTGGGGCAGGCATAGGTACCGCCCGTGTCCCTGGACTTTTTCTACCCTTCGACGCTCGTCTCGGGGCACCGGGCGGTCCTGTCCTTCGAGGTGAGTGTCTTACTCTACTTCCCGCTCGTCTTCTAACCCTTTGTTGTTTCTTGCAGGTTCACCACCCGATAGAGACCAAATGAATCACGCCGAGTGTCTGAAGACCAGGAAAGCCAAGGCGGCCGCGGCCAAAGCTGCGATGGCGAAAGCCAAAAACGCCCCCGCCTCGGAGTCCAACTCCTCGGCCTCTGATGCTGCCAGACGAACTGCCGAGGGTGAGCAGCATTTAATCGCCACCATGCTGGCCCAGGGTTCCGGGGCCCCTGCTCTCGAAGCCGCCCTTCCGCCGCCGGTCGTCTCCATGAAGACGGCTCCTCAGAAGGGGATAGAGAAGGTCCCCGAGAAGAAACAGAAGCGGGGCCGCGAGGCAGGCTCCACCGGCCCCCTGCTTGAAGATGCCGGGTCCCTGCCTTTGAGCCGCCCGGCGGAAGAACTTTGGAGGGAGATGGCCCTCAAGGCCGGTCTCGAGCTGCCCCGCCGTTCGTCGTCTGAGGCGACAAGCGCTGCCCTGGCAGCCGCTCTTCAGGTAATTCCTCCTTGCTAGATCTGAGTATATATATTTTTTCCTTGACGTTCATCCCCTGATCCTTATTTTTTCTTCTGTCATCCAGTCTGGGCTTCTAGTCCTTCAGGCTGAAGCTGCCAGGGAGGCCGATCTGAAGGAGGCCAAAGCTAAAGCTGATGCGGCCATCGCTGCGGCTCGAGAGGCCGCTCGCCGAGCTGAGGCGGAGGCTGCGGCCAAGGGGAAGGAGATCGCCGCCCTGCGGGCAGAATCCCGCCAGCAGCTGGTCAGCCTTGAGAAAGCTGGCTTCAAGCTTGTCCCGGTGCACCCTGTCGCGAAGGATGCGAGTCCGGAGTGGCTGGTTGATACCTCCGGCTACCGGAACACTGGGGAGTTCATGGACTCTGCCAAAGACTATTGTGCCGGAGTCTTCGCCGACTTGTTTGCCGCGGCTCTGGAGAAGATACCGCCCCGCCAGCGTCTGGCCCGCGGCGTCCGGCTACTTGAGGGTTCTCCTCTGTCCCGCAAGTTCCTGTACGAGGTCGGCGACAGCACCTTCTCAGCCGGGTATAACGAAGGGGTTAAGGCCACCCTCCCCATCTTTTCGAGGCTGCAGGGGCCTGACTTTGAGCTTGCTGCAAATACGGACGACGATCTGCTGCTCCAGGCCCTGGGGAAGTTGGGGAGAGACCAACGGCGGGAGGAAGCCAAGGCTAGAGGGGAAATGCCGGAACCCCCGTCCCCCGAGCCCGAAGAAGAGGAGGAGGAGCTGAACCAGGGTGGCAGCCGACCGGAATCCCCTTTCTTTGTATAATGTAGTTTGTATTTTCTTATTCATGCTCTTGTAATGTCCGGCCATTAGAGCCGAAGAATATATATCTTTTTGCCCATAATTGCTCCATGTTCATGGTTTCCACTTGTTATTTTCCTTCCTTTTGTCCTTCGTTGTATGGAAAACCCCTTCGGCGGCCCGACACGCCTTGTAGCAAGGTCAGAGTCCGAGAGGACGTTCGTATCTGTCCCCTACTTGCTTCCAGGCAAAAGCGTCCCGAAGTCAAACCTCCGTACGTACTCAAAGTGTTCTGATAATGGGGCGACGCTCGTCGGCGGTTTATGGTGCATGCTCGAAGTGTAGACATAGGAACGTATTTCTCAGCACCAGCACTTGATAACGATGTCCGTCCGTCGTCGCGTGGTATGAACATTCAAACCATGCGCGGGACGTTCGTCTGTTCTGCGTGTTCATCTGGTATGAAGTGTGGAAAGGCGACGTTCATCCTCCGTGCACCGCTAATGGACGTGATTTTTCCTTCATCCTTTTTGTGTCCATTATTTGTAGTATAAGGAATCCTTCCGGCGCCTTGACACATCTTTACCGCCCACGCGGTATCTTGACAATGGGAAGACGTTCGTCGGTAGCTGTTTTGTCAGTATGCATCTTGAGTATGGACATATGGGCGTATTTCACTGAAATAGCGCTTGGTGACGACGTTCGTCTACAGTTGCGTTACGTGAAAACTGGAGTACCGCAAGACGGACGTAGCCGGTTGATGCGTGTGCCCTCATCAGCCGCCGACACTAGGGTCAGCCGGGGGACTAAGGAAGCAATGGAAGGCGAATGTCTTCAAATTCCTCCGAGCCGGTGAGCCCTCCTCAAGGGACGTCTGTGGCACGGACCCGGATGTCTTTGTGGTGGTTATGCGGCGACAAAATCGAGACGCCTTAAATACCGTGGTAGGTACCGGTACCCAGGTGTCACGTGTCCCGCTTCGGTTGGGGCAATTCTGCGGTGTTGCCTATAAATACCCAGGGTCCAAGTGATCCACTCACATTTCTCCTTACGCTGCCCAATTGTTTTCTCTCTCTAGATTTCTCAAGTACCAAGATCGGAAATCTCGAACCCCAAAGGTACCGTTCGTTGTCATGTCTTCCGAAAGTCGCTTTGACGATGGATGTTCTTCCGGTGATGACCTGGAGTATTATGAGCGGGGAATGCCACCCCGGCCTCCCCGTTATAGCCTCAGCTTCTCATGCGTTCGGCGTCAAGTACAACGCCTGACGAACGCTGACAAGCGACTGATCAGTCAATGGTTTTACCCCCCAAGGACCTACGACGATCAGCGTCTTCGGAGCCCCATGCGCCATCTGCCCGGCTATGTGGTGGTCCACCTAGATTCGGTGATAGCCGGGCTGAACTTCCCCTTGCACAGCTTCCACTTGGAACTCTTCAGGGCCCTTGAGACTGTGCCTGCGCAGCTCGTCCCTGCCGCTTATCGGATAATCGCTGGCTTCATCATTAGATGCCACAGCGTCGGTGTGACCCCCACCGTGGACCTGCTGCACCACTTTTTTCGTCTGTCCACCTTCGGACGCACAAGGTATTTGACCCTGATCGCCCGTCCGTCCATGGTTCTGTTTTCGAACAACGCTGGGAACCCGGACGGTTGGGAAGAACGCTTCTTCCTGGCTGGCGTAGGCTCACCGATGCCATTCTCTGATCGGTGGAACGCTTACCCCGTGAAGACGATCCCGCCGCCCATGACGGACGAGGAGTTTGGATATGCCAAGCGCATAGCCGGACTTGGCATCCAGAACCTCCGGTTGCTGGTGGCCGAGCCCTTTAAAGCTCAGGCTGGATTAGGTGCGTCCGTTTGTACTTGTATTGTTTTAACCTCTCTTTGCTGTTATGGTTCTGAACGTCTTGGTTCCCGTTGTGCAGGAGTTTTTCCATCCACGTCCATCATGCGCCGAGACAATACCGCTCCGTCTGCCGCCGGTCGTGGACACAAGGGGCATGACAAGCCTGGGAAGCCGCTCGTCCCTAAGGTTGAGACCCGGGTGACCAGGGCCCGGACTGAGAATGATTTGGGAGCTGGTGCCTCCAAGAGACCGCGCGTCGAGGGTACTGCCTCCAAGGCTATCATAGTGGCCGATGACTCTGATGGGGAGCCCGGAAGTCCCCTTAAGCGGAAGCCCGCCTCTCGGAACAAGTCCTGTCTTTCTCCCCCACGAACTTCTGACGTCCGTCGTCTCCGGGATGATGATGCCCAGACTGCCAAAGATTCTGACGATGCTCGTCCTCCTTCGCCCCCGGAGACCAGTGGGTCCTCCCTCGGTTTGATTGAATTTTCCGGGGTTGGCCCGCGCAAGGAGTCAATGATGCTCTTTGGTCAAACAGCATCCTCTATATGGTGCGGCCTGAATCTCAAGGTCCCCCAGGATTTTGCTGCTCAGGAGGCACCCGAAGACCTTCTGGAGTGTGGTCAGAGCACTTTGGACAAAGCCGGGCTCTACTTCCACAGGGCTCGGATGGCCTTTGAGCACCAGGGCAGGGAGATGGCCAGAGTGCGGGCTGAGTGTGATGCCCTTCTGAGGAACGCAAAAGGCAGGGCTGGCACTCTTCAAGAGAAAGCCGATGCCTATGATAAGCTCGTTCAGGAGAATGCCTCTCAGAAGGAGCTCCTTAAGAAGCAGGAGGCCGAGCTTGTGGATCTTCGCAGCCGGATGTGGGCCGTAGAGAAAGCCAAGGTGGAGCTTCGCCAGACGGGCGTGGACAATCATGTCCCTATTTATGAGGCCGATGTTGCCAAAATCAAGGAGTCTGGTTCCATTTCCTTTCAGAAATCCAAGGCTTATACTGGCGCCATCCACACTATGGCCATGAAGTTCCTCCCGCGGCTCGTTGGCGAGTTCCTGGCCACCTGCCCGGATGCTTACCAGGATGGGGTTAAATTGCTCCAGGCCACCCCCACCGGACGTCGTTTCCTTGACGATCTCGCCGATGACACCTACCGCAAAGGTATGGTTGGGCTAGTAGCGGAGAATCTCCCGACGTTCGAGCGTCACTTTGGGGCTCCCTTCGACCCGGAGGCGGCTGGCTTCGACGTTTTGATGGCAGATGCTCATGCAGGGGCCCTTGAGCTACTGAAGGAGCAGGAGGAAGCCGCTAAGAGTGACAAGTCCAAGCAGGCCCCTTCCTAATCTCCAGCTCCGGACGCCGATCGGCCGTGGTTCTCCGTTCATTATCTTGTACTTAACAATTTTTCATTTTCTGTATTGTACCTTCATACATTGTAATTTTCCGGCCAATAGTGCCGAGGAATAAGAATCATTCTTTGCTCCGTGCTCTTCTGGCATCTTCTTTTTTTTTTTTTTTGGAGTCTTTTAGTCTTCGTTCGTCATTGGTCCTTGGTCCTACCGGCGTCCCTACTTCGAGGAGACGTTCGGTATCCGCGGACATCGCAATGAAGAACAGGTATATCTACATCGAGATTCCCCCTTTTTTCGTTCGTCTCTGGTCCTTTTAGTCTTACCGGCGTCTCTTGCATCGAAGAAGACGTTCGGTACCCAAGGAACTCGCAGGGACGAACTGGTTTACCCTCACGGGTTCCCGTCTTTGTTATCCCACGTCCATCGATCCATGGTCATTGTGGGATGAACAGGTTTATCTTGGCAAGGCTCCCTTGGTTCGTCTAGCCCCCTCCGCGTCTCTACTAACCTCTACATCGAGAGGCGTTCGTCTTCGGCAGTGGGAGAAGATCTGGCACACCCGGGCAAGATTCCCTTCCTCATAGGAGCTACCCTCCTCTTCTCCCCATCTTTTCTCTCTCTTTTTTTTTTTTTTTTTTTTTGAGGGAGGCAATCTATGGTTTTCGTTCGTCCTTGGTCCTTGGTCCTACCGGCGTTCCTACTTCGAGGAGACGTTCGGTATCCGCAGACATCACAAGGAGGAACAGGTTTATCTGCATCGAGATTCCCTGTGCTTCGTTCGTCCTTGGTCCTTGGTCCTACCGGCGTTCCTACTTCGAGGAGACGTTCGGTATCCGCAGACATCACAAGGAGGAACAGGTTTATCTGCATCGAGATTCCCTGTGCTTCGTTCGTCCTTGGTCCTTGGTCCTACCGGCGTTCCTACTTCGAGGAGACGTTCGGTATCCGCAGACATCACAAGGAGGAACATGTTTATCTGCATCGAGATTCCCTTCTTTAGCGGTCGTTGGCAAGAACAGAAGTGGTGTAAAAAACAGGGGGCCTTTATTATTGACGACGTCCGGTCATTTTACATGGGAGTGGGAATACAACAAGGTCGTCAGCCTCTAACTATTGATAGAACTTCTTCAGGTGTTCTACGTTCCACATCCCGGCATGGTTCCCCTCCAGGGTATGGAGGAGGAACGTCCCCTGGTTGTATCTTCTGATGACCCGGTAAGGTCCTTCCCAGTTCCTTGCCATCTTGCCGCCTTCGAGCGGCTTGCTCTTTTCCCTTTTCCTGAGTACTAGGTCCCCGGCCTCTATTTCGCGGAATTTCACGGCCTTGTTGAAGTATCTCTGGGTGGCCCTGTGATATTCTTCCATGCGACGAGCCGCTAGGTCCCTCCGTTCCTCAACGAAGTGGAGCTCCGCTCGTAGGTTGGTCTCGTTGTCCTCCGGTTGGAAATGCTTAGTGCGGTGTGTAGGTACCAATACTTCCGTCGGTACCTTAGCTTGGAATCCGTAGGCCAAGGCAAAAGGGGTTTCCCCAGTCGCCGTTCTTGGCGTCGTCCTGTACGTCCACAAGACATAATTCAGCTGCTCCGGCCAGGTGGAGGTGTAATCTTCCAGCTTCTTCTTGATCCCATCCATGATGGTTCGGTTCATGTTCTCCACTTGGCCGTTGGCCTGCGGGTAGGCCACCGAGGCCTTAGAGTGCCTGATGCCCCACTTTGCCAAGTATGCCTCAAAGCCCCTGCCGACGAACTGCCGGCCGTTGTCCGTGATGATCTGCTCTGGGATCCCGAAACGGCAGATGATGCTCTGCCAGACGAACTTCTGGCATTGGAACTCAGTAATGGAGGCCAATGGTTCGGCCTCGACCCACTTCGTGAAATAATCAATTGCCACGATGACGAACTTCCTTCCACCAGCAGCTGTGGGCAGGGGGCCCAGCAGGTCTATGCCCCACCTAGCAAAAGGTAGTGCGATGGTCATCGGGGTGTAGAAACTTGCTGGGCGGCCAGGGACAGGCGCATACTGCTGGCATACTGCGCACTTCCGAGTGTGGTTGAAACAATCTTGCTGTATGGTCGGCCAGTAATAGCCCTGCAGGATGATTTTCCTGGCCAAGGTCCGGGGGCCCTGGTGACTGGAGCAGATCCCTTCATGTATTTCCTCGATCACCGCCGCTGCCAGGCTCGGCGGGAGGCACCTGAGGTAAGGCCCGCCGAACGTCTTCTTGTAGAGCTGCCCGTCAATAAGTTCAAAGTTGGGGGCACGCCTCTTTATCCATGCGGCTTTACCCGTGCTGCCATCCCCTTCGGGCTCGGGGAGTGTTCCATCTCTGAGATAATCTGCTATCTCCTTTGCCCAGTTAGGTTCGGCAATGGAGACAACCTCCACCCGGATGACGTCCGTCGCCGGAGCTAGGAATACCTCCTGCCTAACGAAGCCTCTGATGTGCCGGGGGATGCTGGATGCCGGCTCATCGGTTGGGGGGTTGCTTAGTTTCGACAGTATGTCCGCCTCCGCATTCTCCACCCGCGATACCTGCTCAAGCACCACCTGCTCAAATCGTGCGGTCTGTTCCTCCGCCAGCTCTTTGTAGACCTTCATTCTCTCTTCCCTGGTTTCTGCGGTGCCATTCATCTGGGTTACTACCAGCTGGCTGTCCATTCTCACCTTCAGACGAACTGCTCCGAGGGCTTTCGCGCATTTCAGCCCTGCGATAAGCGCCTCGTATTCAGCCTCGTTGTTGGTGACCTTGAACTCGAATTTCATAGAGTAATAGGCCTTGAAACCCTCGGGGGAAGTGATCACCGCTCCCCCGCCACAGCCCCGCGCACTCGAGGCCCCATCGGTGTACATCTCCCACCAATTATCGAAGTCGTTGCTGTCATGGGTTTCGTCCTCGGTGCGCGCGGTGCATTCTG